TTTATCTGTCTGTCTCTTTTAAATTAATTCGAAAGCTTTCAGACTTCTTTGACTGCACGTCAATTGCAGGTAGGAAAAGGTGCGATGCTGACTCAAGCATAGTCTATCAAAGCTGCGCTCGAATTCATTGTACGACAGTGTTGCTTTATTAGTTTCTTCCGGTGTATTGGATAAGCGTCCTCAAAGTGTGTATCTGACATGTCATTACGCTGGATTATATAAAACTATGATGTAATAACTTTCCGCGTGCAAAAAGGCGAGTACAATATGATGGTACAATTCAAGGCAATAAGGAACCGAACTTATAGCCGAAACAGAGATGATGGAAACATATAATGCTGTTACAGAGATTACTCGATACTGTTGATGATTTTAAACTGTAAAGACAGCATGCTGGACGTGAAGAGCTCAGGAGGTAATGAAAAAACACCCAAAAAACTCGATTTGGTCGAAGCATTAATTCTCTTCAGCATGTACGTCACATTTGAATAAAGAAAAACACTTTGAAGAGTACGGTATGGAATTCAAAACGATAGTTTATTTTTTTTCGTATTACATTGATAGCACTTGGCATTCGGACCTCTAATGCTCATACCGGGGCGCCACATTCCGGTTGCGTTGTTTTGATGCTACATAATTCCTACACGTATTATTGTAGTGTAAATTGCCAGTAGTAATTGACGTTTTTAAATTATTAGGGGACGCACAACCGCCAAATTCGACCTAAGTTTTCTCTACGCCACCTGGCTTGCAGCCTTTTGCCCTTTTACAATATGTATTGATGCAATGTAGCGTTGATATGCGAGCACAGCAGATATTCACTCTGCTGCGGTCAACATCCGCGTGACCGGACTTATCCACGTTAGCAAGTCAGAGGTAAGAGTATATAGTGTGTGGATAGTGATTATTACAAGTTAATTCCTTTAAACGCAATGTCAGTATATGTTTGCCACGTTAACTTGAGCATACTAGTAAAAAAAAATTGTTAATTATGTGGGGCATTTTTATTGCTCATTAATATGATAAAGTTAGGACTATAAATTAAAAATTAGACTTAGGTCGGTATCACTATTACATTTTTACCTCCTACGAAGCGTTTACGTTTAGTGGACTGGTCTTCTTCTGCACGTACTATGTACGTAAAGTTCAGTACAGTGATTACACGGTTTTTAGTGTTTATTGACTTGTAATGTGCCAGTGCAAGTAACCAGTACCCCGCTACATCTCGTCGAAGTCTTCCTGTGATGCTATAGCGTTATCTTGAGTCCTAAACACCGTAACAAATTTTGAGCGAGTAGTGTATGATTGGTATTTTAGCAGGTAATTTCGGTGTGTATCTGTGTTAAAAAATGTGCCACATAATCTCCTTGGATCATATCTATCACATTCTCTCTCATCGCGAGCTATGTATACTGGGTGTAATCTTTAGTCAAGTCAATGATTGCCACCAGTTAGGAGTCTGCAAGCTGCGCAAAATTCACACACACACATAGTGGCTCAAAAGTGATCAAGCAAGAAATAAGCCCAAATCCGAAAGTATTCGCCGTGCTGAAATGTAGTATCAGCCTCCTTTAACGGCAACATGAAATCAATGGCACCTGCAATTGATAAATTGCTATCCGTAACTGGAGGTGATCAAGCAGCGACTGCACCAGCAGTATTCAACGCGTAAAAATGCTCGCAGAGACAACAGATTACCGCAATTGTTGAAAATGATTTGTGCGCATAGCTCTTATGCTACATGTACCATTGCTGTGAGCTCGACCGCTGTAAGTATTTACATACATTTTGCAGCATCAATTGATTTCATCATCTTTGATCAATGTAGACTGCACCGAAGCCAAAGATCGAAGATGCAGGATTCTCTGTTTTCTAGTGTGATAGTTAATAAAGCATAGCTTGGTGTACAGCAAAAGGATATTAGCAGCACACACGTGAAATGAGGATATGCAAATTAAACGGTACATGGTGATTAAAAAAGGACTCATAAAGGTATCGAGAAACATGAAATTTGATGTGATCTTCATCTACAGTGCTTACTCGATTGAGAAAAATAGTTTAATGATTACCTCCTCGATCGGCCGTGAGAGCCTTATAGCTTGTCTGATCACCAGTCAGTTTTACGTCGTCAGCCGCACTGTGGTGCTAACGATACGAACGATAAGGCATCCTATCCGATAAAGCATAGAAAAACAACAAGATTCCATAAACAAAGCAATACATCAACTTCTAGCGCATCCCACAATGCTCAATCTTACTAGCTGGAATTTTAAACTCAAACAAAACTAAGTATCTGAATTTGTATCAGCTGTTTGGACTGGAATACTTCAATCAGATGGCAGGCTTCAATGCCTACTCCTCTATCTTACATCCTTTATACAAATCAATCGTGCTATTTGCTTCTTCCAAAGGCAATTTGTCGAGTAATAGCGTAAAAATTATCGACTGTTGTCCCTCCCGTAAAAGTGACACCATTGGACCACCTTTTTGTTAAGTGTCGTATAAAGAGTCTCTAATACAATAATGATGACCGCATATTATATTATATTCCACATCATTATACCGTTGAAGTACGATTGTAAAGGACCTGTAGTAACTCGAACTGGCAGCCGATCGAGCTTATAAGATCATTGATTTGAATAGCCACGTAATAACTTCTCGTCTAGCACACCTTTCATATTTTTTTCCTCAGGTACATTCAAAAGAAAAGTTCAGGTATCGCAGTCGATTAAGACGTTTAACGAGCTATTGAAAACGCCATGTGGTGTTTGTCCGATGCTTAAATGATGTTCCAGTCTTATACTGAGTCGTATTCGCTGGCAAATTTTGACGTATCCAGCTTTTAGGTACTTGATCACTGTAACTAAAGAAGACGGTCTAATTTTCAAAATTTCATCTTGGTGACGTTCAAGTGGCGGTCAATTAACCAACGCAATTAAAATGGACCAGCGTGAAGTCAAATTACTTGGAAACAGGCTTGCGGACACTAAATTCAATTCAGGGCGCCATCCACAAACTTTAGACGATTGAATGGCCATTTTGCAGCTGAAATATGGCAAAGCACGGGCAATAATCTATCTCTCTGCTAAACGCGATTTAAACTGCTAAGGCGTCTGAGGTCGCTACTCGAGAATTGTAAAAGTACAACTGCAAGCTATTCGAAAACATCATTGCCATTTGATACGCCTCCTACTCTTTATTAGTATCTCCACACGCTGTTATCTGTAGGCGTACATGCAGATACTTGTCGACGTCATCATAGAATAAAAAGACACGACTTTAGAGTTAATGGTGACCGATGACGTAATTATGTTGCACTAATTGTTAATTGTATGACCAAAAATGCACATCAGTCGATATGGACCATCGAAAACAAGAATTTAATCCTACTTAAACAAAAATGTTCGAGTCGATGAAAAACACACGCTTTAATCTGTTAGCAAAAATCTAGAAATCTGTGACACTCCGATTCTGTGCTCCCCTATTTCATGGTACCAGTGATGAAAGCAGCATATCTCATTGTAGTGCTGTCAATAAGGCTTCACTGATTGTTACACATTAAATAGGATTGTATGATATTTCAGTCTGTAAACGACTATTAACAAGATTAAACCTTGGATTTCAGAGCGTAGCATTGTTTTTCTACAAGTACGTTTGATGATAGTTAGCCTTTGTTCGAATGGAACTAAAAGTAAAACTGTATTATTGTGAAACGAAGTTTCTTACGTCGAGTTGTTGCACCCTAAAGCGAAGACTCTTGCGAGTGACTGACAAATAATTCCAGATCTGGCTGAAACATACGCGCTTCTTCATCTGAGCGCACAAAACACGCACGCAAAAGTAGGCAAATGTCCAGTACTTTTATTCAACAAGAGGTACATTTCTGTCGCTCTCTGAGTCCACGGTCTTTTTCTTTGCGTCAACAAAATCATTCGGCTGTTCATGAATATATACACGATCTTCGATTTGTGCATTCTCTTCTGCGTTTATATTACCTGGGAGATCGCAGATCATATCAGTAAGGTCATTTTTGTTGAATTATATTAATCTTGTTGGAAAACAAGCTGGTCTGGCGATGATCGCATAAAAATCTGCAACCTCTGGCACTTCATCATATCAAAATCCATCTAGCAACTTCGAATGGTCTGTCTACCATTTCTGCTTCACTTCTCAGTCAAAAACGCTATGGCTTCAAGAACGTCCAATATGCGTTCCGTACTTTACTCTATCAGATCCCATGCGTCAGCGCATATGAAGCTTCTTGTACCGAGATTTAAACGATCGGATAATTTCTACACACCAACAATGTGGGTAAGAAATAAATGTGAGTCACGGACCCATAATAAAATATCACAACAATAATAATGCAACTTAATCCAGTGGCTGGATAGTGAAGTCACTTTTGGTGGGAAGAAGGTCACTGAGACGTTATTGTTTTTTCGTCGGACTTTGTGACTGGAAGTGTTATCCAAACATGCAATCAAAAGTCAGATCGATGAATCTACTTGTCGCAGAGACTTCTATCATCCGGGCGTTAGAACTAGTAGTGTAATAAACTAGTAGTGTAAAAATATAAATAATATTACCCCTTTCAATTTATAGACCCGAAAAAGTACCTCAAATTCAAAGTTTTCGATGATAGTGGGCTTCGTCTCTTTAGATTCACTTGCGTTGCTGCACTTATCTACTGTAATCATCGACTTTACGTGCTTCTTGCCCTTGTTCTGGGTCGTGAAAAGCGTACTGCTAAGAGCTTTTTTCTGTTGGGTGATGTTACCATAATGCTAATAATGCTACCTCGTCACAGTTAAAGACGTCACGGGGAGTATATACCCGATAATCACCCTCAACCTAGACTTCGCCGCTTCACGATCCTCAACGTATAAGCTCCCGCTTTTGCCGTTTTACACGGCTCTTAATATCCTCCGCAGATTAGATCTCTTTATCCCTCCGTTGTAGATCTAGATAGTGTGATCATCGATGCCATGGCTCAATCGTAGTCAGTCTGCCTTCAACAAAACCAAGTTTTCGGATAGCTCGCCACTATCGCGCGTAAGAATGAACTCTGGCAGCTCCTTCTCGAAATCAGGAGCTCCACACGGCTTCTTCTCCACACTAACTTCAAAGCCTTCGAAATCCGATTTTTTCATGGTCGAAATCCGATTTTTTCATGGCTGTGAGCCGATGCACTTTGATTTGTTTATGTTGTGCTTAGACTAGACGTTCAAATACGGATGATCTTCACGAAATTGAATTTTTGGGTGCTTTTTGCAGTGTCAAAACATTGATTTTGATCCGGTGAACGCGATGATCATTCGTTTCAGCTCGTCTGTGGTGTGAAATTAATTTTGCCTGGAGATTCGATTCGGTTGGGTCGAGCTGATTGCCGTAGTTGCGTAGTAGAAAAATTGGTAAAGATAGAATATAGATCGGATGTCGTATACATTTCCATATGGCGCTATCCGTAATCGCTGTGTCATAATCTTTCTCATGAGATACTACACGTCATATATTTTTGTCACTTTCAAGTCCACTGAGACTGCAAGACTGACCATAAGTTCTGATCAGCCTTTAACTATAGCCCTTGTCAAATTTGTTGCTTGAAACAATCTTGAGCAAAAAAGGGGTCATGTAGAGAGGTCTCTTAAAGTGCGTTTAAACGCACAACATTCGAATATAGCAGTATCATTTTTTTCAATATCGTGATATTTTGCTATTGCAATATGAGTGATGTAATGTGCCGTTTGGACATCCCCCTATATGAAGCAAAACCCCCCTCAAAACTGCCTTCAACACTGTCTTCAACACTGCCTTCAACCCTGCCCTAACACTGCCTTAAACACTACCTTTAAATGCGCCCGCCTCCCTCACATTTTCGATATGACCTATTACCTAAGAACAGAGAAAACCAGGGCAGGTTGAAAGTTAGAATAAGAGTCCTTCCTTCCTTGCTGAGCTCGTCGCCTATAAGAAGGAGGGTCTCGACGCGGACAAGTCCTCTTTTAAATCGGCTGCATGGAAACATGTGGAAATGCGGTTTAATGCATTCTTTATAGTGGCATACACTCTCCATCAACTACAGAGTCGACATGCCATTGTAAGTATACCTACTTTCACAGATTGACATCGTTGTTTACAAAAAGCATACAAACTCAACAAAACTTTTGTAGCTGCGCGATCACTTTGAGATGTGGCAGAGTATCAAGGACAACAGCGGCTTTGGTTTCGATGAGGACGTTGGGGTCCCTACTGAGATGTACCATGTCTGGGACGAGCTCGTCGAAGGCTTGCAGGAAGAAGAATGCCCGTGCGAAAGCTAATTAGTTCCACCACATCTCACTTGCCAACCTGGAGGACAGCGAGTGCCTGTTTCAAGACAACTTCGAAAATGTAGAATATGCGATGATCCGGCGTCACCGACCGAACGCCTCTGAGCCCGCTGGTGTTCTCGTAGGACCAGTTTAGACGGGGTAGATGACGTCGGTCCGTCGCGAGCGCGAGCGCACGGACGCCTCTGCGCTCTCGGAACAATGAGATTCCCTTAGTCTCCCGGTACACCAAATTGCGTGCGCGTGTCAAGGATGATCATTCCAAGAATAAGGGGCACGAACCCTCCTTGCCGCACCACAGCAACCTTGCGAAACGAATGGTGCAGTATCGCTGGTGGATGCACTGGATTGTGTCACAGCATGCTTTGGAAACCCTCGTTTCCATGAAAGAGTCAGGGAACCTCGACCCAGAGGAGGTCGCCACCCTTTTTACCAAATTGAACATAAACGAGAAGTTAGCAGAGGCGTTTCTTGCATACGATGAGGATTGCCGTAATATTTGGGTGGATCGTGCATTGATTGAGATGGGGATTGATTCAAGACAGCCTAAAAAGAAAATACTCACAGCACATCTATTGTCCTCCGCCAATGGAGAGATCGGCACACATAGCCCTCCCACATCCTCTTATCTATCTCGTCCCGTCGGATAGAGAAGTGATGCTGATCTCTGTCGGAAAATGGGCCTTACTATGCAGACGTTCAGGTTACGGCCATGGAATCCTGATAGAACCCAGAAAGCACTTGGGAGGTCAATGGGGACAATCCATCACCGCAGCTGATAAAATTGTGCAAGGAGCACAGAGCCATGACGAGATCGACCTGCGACGCGAAATAGTACTGGAACGCCATTTTTATAATCATAAAGCAGTTTTTAGGACGCCGAATATTCGATCGATCGTGTTCCTTAGCGACACGTCTTACAGATTAACAAGCTCCCGAGCATTTTTCGGCCTGTTGATACAACATCAGGTCAGATTGTTGACATCACATGCATTTACTTTTTCTGAACATTGTACCATTTACGCAAATGGAAGCGCACTCCACGTGATGAGACTAGGACGTGTTGTTGTTTCCGCAGCGGCATCCCTTAAGCAACGCTCGTTGCGGAAATGTAAATCCTTGCTTGAGAGCATTATAACTTACGTGGTTGTCGTGCGATGAGCCCTCCAAGCCGGCGACAAAGTACTGGAATAAAAGATCAAAGCCACAACGCACTCTTACTTACTCAGACGACCAATTTTTCTGTCGTTGATCTTACTCATTCATTGAGGAAACTCTTAGCATAAATTTAAACACATGCTGCTTTGTTCAGCGATGTCAACTCTTATAGAAAGTCTGTCCAATGAAAAGAGGTACTTACAGAGGAAGACGACTGTACACGGCAGTCTGGATAGACAGAATAAGGAAAAAGTGTCAACATCGACAAGGTTGGGATTGAACGATAATAGACTCGATATGTTTGCCGTTAAATTAACGCACTCTATGTTACATCATGCAGCAAGTATTCCCCATACACGATGCACAATGAACAAGTATACACCTCTACATAGCAATAAACGCTCAAATCAGGCAGTCTCGCTGCAGCCTGTACCCAATCCTGCTGCTGCCGTCTCACTCCACTTTCCAACACCCCCGCCCCATCCCAGTCACTTTACATCACGCACTTCGAATGGAGACTCTCGTCCAGAACGAACTGATGCTCAAGAGCGGTGCAATCGTGGCCACGTCCGAAGCGCTCTCCGGCAAGAAGGTCATCGGCCTCTACTTCAGCGGCCACTACTGCCCGCCATGCCGCAAGTTCACTCCGCTCCTGGACATGGTCTACTCGAACATCAAGGCAGCTGGGCACGAAGACTTGGAGATCGTCTTTGTGTCTTCCGACAAAGAGGAAGCCAAGTTCACCGAGTACTACAACGAGATGCCGTGGATCGCGCTGCCCTACGCGCGTCGGGACCTCAAGCTCAAGTTGTGCGAGAAGTTTGGCGTCAAGACAGTGCCGACGCTCATTTTCTTCAATGAAAAGGGCGACGTCGTCGAACGGGAGGGCCGCGCCTTTGTCACGAGTCACTCGGACGACATTGCTGCCATTCTCTCTCACCTGCGCCAGGAGAAAAAGGACTAGAGCTGAGTCATTTGTGACCGTCTCAACTGGACTCTGATGTCGGTGCACCTCTGTCCTTTCGATGGTCTCGATGCAAGTCGATCTCGTGGACGCTGGACGCCAGGCACTTGTGGGTCCTTGCTACTACCTACTGTACTCAACATTGAGGAATAATGTCACGCACTCGATCAGTTCGGATCAAGCTCAAGGTTGCTTCTGTTACAAAACCAATATTCAAATACTTTCAAGCGGTTCGAAAGTCGCACTTCAACTGGTTTCCACGTGAGGCTGACTGAGCAACTGACTCCCAGCTCGGTCCGTTGTGCGGGTGGGTGGAAATCTTCACAAGCCTTCTCAACAAGCTCATAATAACGTGTATCCTCATCTGGAGACAGGAACATCTCGAGATGCTGATGTTGCTGATGCTGATTGACGAATGTCATCGTCACTCGTTGGCCATGCAGCCCAAAACTAGATTATTAACATCTACGGGAAAGACAAATACTACAATTTGCAACTCCGCGTTGTTGACATGTACGTAGGTGGCCGCTGGAACATGAGGAGAAGCGGTTTGGGACCCTTCTGCAATAGCTTCATCGCTGCACCAAAGCCCATCTTGCTGATGTTGTTGTTGTTGATACTCAGCAAAACATCGCCGATTTCCACACGGTTCTTTTGTGACTCACGCGTAACCGCGCCCTCGCTTTTCACATTAATCACACGCGGGTAGTAGCTCGTGCTCTCCTGCTTGACAACGATACCCAACGGGCCGTCCTCCTCTTTCCACGTAATGTAATACAGTGAGTGATCATTCTTCGGGTTCATGCTCACACGGCATGACTGCGTCATGCGTGACATTCCCATCATGTTGGAATCGTCCTGCGGATTTGGCGATACGCAGCTGTCTAGCAGATGCGGTTGGCCATGCTGCTGGCTCGGGTCTTCCGCGAGGTCAGTATGTCGGAAGCGCAGCACTGCTGGTCGAGGTCCACTTTCCAGTATGTCAATGACCTTCTGAAAGCGCACACCCTGCGTGGAGAATTCGTTAATAAACACCAAGTGATCACCTGCTCGCACATTAAACATGCCAGGCAGAAGCTGATTGCCTTGGGACTGAAGAACGCACGGGTATCCGGTACTCGGATCTGGGCGAAACCCAAGGCCAAGCGGCACGCCTTCCTTCCATAGCACCTCGTAATCCTCTTCCCCCAAGAGTTCGAGCGAGCCTGATCGTAGCCGAAATGATTCTGTCGGGTTGCGGAGGAAGTGCAGCCGCACTGGCTTTTGGACTTCTTGGAGCAGCGTCAAAATGCGACGGATGTCACCTTTTTTTACTCGCACCTTCCCGACAGCAAGAAGGACGTCACCACGAGAAACCTCGAATATGTCCGCACAGTTGCTCAAGCTTTCGTGAACACGGCGTACAATGGGCATACCGGATAGTGGATCGCTTTCAAAGTACAAACCGAGCAAACCGCACTCCCACACGATCTTGTACTCGTTCTGGACATGCTTTGGCGGCTCGTACTCGTCGATCATTTTCTTCCGTGATGCACGAGAACTACTCCGAATACTGACACTTCCGTCATTGTCCGAGTTATCGCTTGTACACCCTGAGCTCTGGAACGAAATCGTCGTGTTCTTCCGATCTTTCATGTCAACTGACTCCGAAAAAGATATTGAGCTCGCTGTAGTGCTTCGCTCATCCAGGGAACCCACGTACGAAACGTCATGCTCGAAGCTCAATGTGTTGGCAGTATACTCGCGTCGGACCAGCCATCCGCGCACAAACGACTGGATCGCTATAGCCGCTTGCATACGCTTCACCATCTTCCTCACCGCGTAACCGCGAATTGTGCTTTGTACTTTTACCACAGCACGTTGACGGCGGATCACGCGCTGATATCGACGCCAGTGTGACCAAGAGCGCCAGATTGACTGAATCCGAACGCATGATCGCCGCTTCCGCCGGTAATTAGAGCGTACACTATAGCCAAGACAATATCGCTGTAACGTAATGATAGACTTGTACAATGCCTTTGACCGGGCTGCTTCCAAAGCTTGATGAGCTTCAAGAATGCAAAAGACTTTAGTCTTACCCACCTGAAACGGAGGGTGCTTCTTTTCCGTTTCAACACTGAGTATTGCCATCAACTTGTCCACCATTCGCATGGCCACCTCTTTCTCTAGCTGCCCCTGTGCATTAGGCACTCGAGACAAAATGCAGCTGTATGTTTTGATAAATACATCGTGCGAGAAACGCACTGAATAGCCGCTACGAGAAATCTTGACTGCTTCCAGGACACCACTGCAGCGTAGCTGCTCCAATAGACGCCTTCGTTCGAACTGCGACGCACTCGCCTGGTCATTAGGCTTTATACAACGGATAAAATGTGGCTCCGTCGCATTCAGAACTTCCAAGAGCGAGCTCAACTGACTCTTGAACTGCGCCACCACCGTGGATGATAAAATGCCACCGGACCGGCGGCGATTGCCGTCGCTATTGCGAAGCTCAGTCCGACCGTTCCTCGGACTAGAGCCGCCGTTACTGGCAGCATTCTCGAAGCAAGCACGCACAAAAGAGAACTTTGATGTGCGCAGCAAATCCATCGCCTCAGTATGCATGTGATCTTTATTCTTGTCACAGAAGCCATCTGTCATGTAGCAGACACTCCCTGCGTAGTGACGAATCACAAACTGACCTTTAGCACGCTGAAGTCGCGTCACCGAAAAGCTTTCGTGCTTATCCGCCAGACACTCGTAGTACTTGTTAGCCAACTTTTCGTCATTTCCACGGGGAATTAGACACTGCTCATCCAGAAGAGAGAAAATGCCCATGTGACGCTTTTCCACTAACGCCACACACACATCGTTGTTCGGGTAGTCCACAAATTTCCAGGGAATCTCCTCTGCCACGTACTGATCTTGCTCCATACGAAATACAAACCTGCCAAAAAGCTGCTGCAGCTTCTCGTTGGCGTAATTTATGCACAACTGTTCAAGACGGTTCCGCTCAAAAATCTCGAAACCAAAAATGTCCACAACTCCAATAAACTGACTACGACCCGCTTCTTCCTTGTACTCAATGCTGCGGTTGATGCGACCCACAAGCCAATTGAAAAGGTTTGAATACAGCGTCTTCACCACCGAGTCCCGAGTTGAAAGTGCCTGCGCAACTGGAAGGCGAGTCGTGATGAACTCTGCCCCAGCTTTAATTTGCTTGGTGCATAACGTGCTTCGTAATAAGTCCTCTTCCACACCAAGAAGCGAGCAAATGGCTCGAATGTTATCACGACATTCACCCATGTCCACAGCGGACGCATCGTCTTTTCCACCGTTACGAGAGGCCGTCGTGAAACGTACATTGCCCAAGTGCAGCACAGCAGAAACAATCTTCATCACACTGAGCTGCTCATCAGGACTCATGCCTAGGCTCGACATGGCCCGCCGAGTCACGAGATAAGAGTCGGCGTCATTCACACCGTCCAAACGCTCATAGCACTCGGACTGACTTAAATACGCGTAATCGTGGACGTCCTGCAAAGCCAATTCCAGGCGCTCTGATGGAGAACTGCCGCCACACATTTCGTAAAAGATGTGGTAATTTCGCTCGCCTTTGCCCTGTGATACGAGACGTACGCGCTCTAATAGGTACGTGGAGATAGACGCACCTAGCATCTCACCCGATGATGTAAATCCTAGCTTGATAAACTTGCCAAAGCGACTAGAGTTGTTGTTCCGCGTGGTTCTGGCATTGCCAAATGCCTCCAAAATCGGATTTGACTCCAAAACCCGATCGTGAATTGTCGTTTGGTCGCAATCATTTGGCCGATTGGAGCGGCGGGTGCGCTTCGTTGATACATACGCCAAGTAATTCATGATAAGCTTTGTCGTCTCGGTCTTCCCCGCACCACTTTCGCCACTCACAAGAATCGTCTGGTCCGTCTTCTTGTCGCTCGATTGTGGCACGAGCATCGTGCGAAACGCCTGATCGGCCACCGAATACACGTGTGGTGCTAGAAAGCTCTTATCTGCTTCTACGTCTCCCCCTAGATTGTAGTACTGGTCTTTAATGTCATCCGAGTACAATGCTAATCGTCTGAACGGATTCATAGCCACGAGAATCTGCCCAGTGCTAGTATAGATCTCTCCATGAAGGAATCGACACTTGAGTACCTGTAAAATAGCTGGCTCATGCAGATGCACGAGCTTCGTCAAGTCCTGCACCGTATGGTAGCACTCTCCCTGATTGCGTGGCAGCACAAGCTCCATCGAGACGGACACGGTCTGCCGCGCCGCATTCGTGCGATTGGCCTCCATCATCTCCTGCGCTTCTTCAAAGTCCACAACTGCATCGTCGCCTCCCTTGTCCTTCGTCACTTCTGGCTCCACAGTGCACTCCACGCGACCTGTAGACGCGTCCACAGGCGCTACGACAACCGCTTCGTGCCACATGTCACGGTCGAACACCCACACGGACGTGCCAACGTCCATAGCTGCGCTGCGTCGTCCAAAAGTAGCGACAACGACCGAGTGGTCTGGCAGTTACTTGGCCGCTCTGGTCGACGCAGAGGACGGGAGCAGTGCGCTTGAGCTCTAGCGCACGAGAGAGAGAGAGAGAGAGAGATCGGAGGAGAGATCCCGCCTACTGACCGGCCGAATGAAGAGACCGAGGGGCGAAGACGACGCGCTTTTTTCTTACGTGCGTAGCGAGCGACTGAGCAGTACGAGGTCGTCGTTGTACGAGCCAGCGGGTGCAGGGTAGGCCGTCCGTCGTCCTGCCTCTTGCGCAATTCAACGACATGGGTCGAGCCCCCACACACACGGGAACAGGACCCAGCCCACCCTACCCCTGTATATTTTAACAAATGAGATGGCGTCAAGTAGTTTACAGCACCGACCAGCCGGTATAGTGTACAACTGTTGGCAGACAAGCGGTCGGTCGTGTCTTACTTCAGTAGAAAGCAGGTAAGAGGAGGAGGGGTGGCAGCCAGCCAGCCAGCCAGCCGTCAGACAGGCTACCCGACCCCTCGTGCTACTTTAGACAACGATTTCGTCGGTCGTTTGGCCTGAATTGGCGTCCCTGTTCTACCCAGTCCAAGATGTCCTCGTCTGCAGTAAAAGTCGCCAGGACAACGAGACAATCGAGCCTTTATTGAGCTCGTCCGCTAGAGGATCGTTTGTAGCGTGAACGTGACGCATAATTGTCTCGCGGCGGTAATCCTCCTCCCACTGTAATGGCAAACGTCGTAGCGACAAGCACTTGGTATGAGACTTTTGATGGATGATGCGCGCGTAATATGCCGCATGTGTCTCCTATAGCGGAGGATAGTGGCTAGCGTTTGAGCAGTTTTGTTTTACTGAGAAGAACAAGGGGAACACCGCAGTGTGATGATATATGGTCGAGAGCTCGAAGTTTTCACTACTGTATCACTGCGGCTGTCGCTCAAGAGGGTGAGGTGATTGAAACTGCTCGTTGCGTTGTAATGCTATCGAATGTGATGGCTACAGCGTCGCTCTTGTCGAACATGACGAGCAAATAGCATTAGCTGCTCGAAAACTAATGCTACAGTGCATCCAATAGATCCCTCTGTTTCGACTCTAGTGGCGCCACGATTTGGCTTCGCTAGCCCTATTCGATCATGAGCCATTCCTTCCAGTAGTACTATCGATTGATCCGTCAAGCCCGACAACACTTTCACGCGGAGGTCCTCTTGATGTGCTGACGTCACGATTGGAGCACCACAATGTGATCAAGGAACCAACTCACCGTGCAAAATAGAATACCGACGAAAACAGATCGGAACACCACGTCTTATTCTCCCTCAGTGCTAGACATATCCCAGACTTGTTTGTAAGATACTTACCACCGATATTCGTGACAGTCATGCCATCACTTTATCACTTTGGTGTGCTTGTAAGCGAGGTGAGTTTGTTCTAGTTGTGGCTGAACTGCAGTCGACGACGAGTGCCTCGTCATGCTGTCAAGCCGACGCAACTCTCGTGTAAGTAAAGGGAAAAGTGTGCTCCGCCAGTACATGTGATGGTATTCTGTGATCGCGACTCGCGCAAGACGCGTGGTGGAGTCATCAAAGAATGACAGCACAGACTCGACTGCAATCGTATCGTGATCGAGACGTGTGCAAACGTGAAGACTGTCCAATGCTTCACCTGAGGCGACCCCCTTTTACTCACGGCACGCTGGGGTGCGGCCCGCGCATAAGCCAGGACTCGCACCCAACTCGACAACATCGGAAATAAATGCACAATCTGCATCCACGATCAAGCTTGATGTGGATTTTTCACCGTACTGATGCCATCTTTGTGCTGCTGTAATGGCGGGTCTGCGACCATGGTGACCTCCTGCTGTGGCAATGCAAGTCACTTTACTGCTTTGTCCAGGCTGCTGATGGTGCTTTACACTACACCTGGAGTATACTCGTGAAAACATCGACCTGATTGAGCGATGTTGCAATGGCGTGAGGTCCGGTCTCCTTCAACACAGGCATTTATTCCGAGAGATTAGCGCTACTGGTCGTACCTGCCCACATTCCACTGCCTGCAGAATGCGTCGAAGCGATACCGCACCAAAGGCTGGAGGGTGTCCAGCGGTACAGCGTGCTGTAAAATACACGAGGCACATGTAGGGCCTGCCAAATGCTGCATTGTCTACAAATGTAAAGAATCTCACGACCCCGGACCCAGCTTTTTCGACGTCTCATCGTGTGGCTGTGACCTTGGTGGCAGCGTGGAGTCACCTGCTTGCGCTCAATATCGTACAGTCGCAGCTAGAGACGTAGTACACACCGTCTGAATAGAAAACGTTGACAAGCAAGGATTGACCGCTGCAAAAGGCCGACATGCTCGCACACTTTGCGCAGTTCAGATTGACGAGATAGAGAGCGCGTAGAAACAGCCGTGGCAAACACCTTGGGGCAGCTGTGGAGAATGCGCGGTAAATGCAGATGTCGGGCATCGACCGGCTCTCTGTCGGATCCTAGACGTAAATATGGTCAAGACGATGGCGAAGGGTACCTTACACGTATAGTATCTGCGTGCCCGAGCTTTTGATCGAATCTACTTGCTCTCGGACAGGGAATTCAGCCACCATCGAGTGGTCGGGAGTGTAGGGCGGATGCCGATGACATGTGCAAACAGTGTAACGGCAAGCCGGTCGAGACCAGTGGTCAATCCCGGGACTGCTGGAAATGGCGGAAGAGAAGAGAACACATTTTGAACGTACTGACATTTGTTTTGCATCAAGATGTGCGTCCGCGCCCTCTTTTCGCAAAGGAAGTCGGATGCTTACCGGCGCTCTGGCCATTTCTCGTACCGTCGAAAAGGAAGGGAATGATCGAACGCATAAACTACATTGGTCTAACGGTCGGACAATTTGCTTCGCTCTGTCCGATCAGTTTTTTCGGTTAAATAACCACTTACACTTGGTGTACACTTACACGAAAGAGAAATCAAAGCCCATCGATCGGAGACGTTGTGAAGGATAATATCGCGACGTAAACAAATGTGAGCAAAGTAAACAGAGCGATGTATCATCATCTTATCGGCACTAGACTCAGAATGCGTCGACTCGGCTCAACAACCACAGGAAACATGTGCATTCCTTGCAATTACCATCTTTACCGCTGAAGCCCCACTCACTGCACTTACAGCGACATGGTTTCCTTGTAAACGCTACTAGAAAAGATAAATGAAGCGGTGACGCTTTCGTTGCAGCTACTGTTGCTAGCTCCCTTCCGAACTCTCCCTCCTGCCCTTCATCTGTAGGTTCGTTGGCAGGTCATAGCAGCAGGCTGCAGTTGATCCACTTAACAGTAGAACCACGTGCCAAAAGGACGAGCGTACTGGCAGCCCGACCCGTAGACTGTCTGGCCAAACGACTTCCAGTACGTGATCGGATAGCGCCAGCCGTAACGGAACCCTCCAGCATACGGATACGTGTAGCGCCAACGGTACGTGATTCCTCCCGTTGGGATGAAGCCACCGCCGCCACCAATAAACTTCTCAAACTGCTCCTTGTCCGCCGGTACAGGCTCCTTCTCTTCAAAAACCGTCACACCAGGTGGCACCTGCTCCGTTTTACCATCTTCAACGGCTGGAGCCGCAGGAGTATCATCCGCGTGAGCGCAACTGAGCACGACACCCAGGATCACCAGAAGAAGGATGACAAAGCGCTTGATCATGATAATCGAATTGCTCTAGACCGGATGGAGTGTTGACTGTAGCGTAGAAACCCGAATGAGCTTGGAGGTTTGGCACCGCTTTGGCCGAGGTACGATCAGGCAGTTGGAGACACGATGCAGTTGGTTCAACACCGTGGCCACTCGTCCCAGGTAGACCAGTTTGTGGAAACTGAAGCTACACGTAGACACGTTGGAAAACCCTCCAGCGAACGTTTAGTCAAGTGTGCTGTACACGGATGGCTTGCAGTCGTGCCCTCTCTCACACCTCCACCCCCACAATCGAATGAGTTTACAACGCGTGTCGAGAAACTCGATTTGCTTCGCGAACTACGTCGAAAACCAGCAACTTCTTTCTCGACAGTTGGTGACGACGGCGACGCACGCACGGCCATACCAACTCATGGGCAACATTCGATCATACGATTTCGATGCACGGCACCGACACTGCCTTCGTTTCCACGACAACCTAAAGTCGACCGGCGCGACGGATACTGCAGTAGCCCACCATATCACCGCAACGGACAGATCTGTTTCCAAGCTAGCTAACCTTCGAGCACGATAGCCCTGCACCGACATTGTCGCCCTCCACGGTACTAAACCGCGGCAAATCGATTCGCTCGCAGTAGTGGTCTTGACATTGTTTGCAACAGTAGCAAGCCCAAGTGGTCCCATGTCGTTCCGCTGTCTCCTCTTGTCAATAAATGCACCACTCTACCTTGTCACCGTCCAACACTCAGGTCGTCTCAGGCTGCTCCGATTTCGTTTCCAGCAATCAATTGTCAGCGTGTAGTTCACAAGTACCAATTGCAGTCAGTCCACATGCGATCGCAGGTGTGATCTTGGCTGGTGCTGAGTGCAGACTTCAAATCTGTAGGCCACTCGATTGGCAGGAGTTCGATTCTCCCTCGCCTGCGCCTTTTTTTCCGGGGCAAGCGGCTCACCATATGTAAGCCCACTCAATGCAAGCCATTGAGACATAGACGCGGCAATCGTCGTCAACGACAGGGCCATGTGGTGACCAGCGCTTCATCTCTACTCCATAACCACCCGGCGGCATCAAAGCCGTCAACACAATTGAGTCCCTCGTAGCTCCCATCCAAAAGGACTAGCAACACCCCCAACGTCCTTCCGCCCCCTTTTGTCAAGATGCCACGTCAGCTCACGCCCGAGCAGGTGCTGACGCCCGTACCGTCTGACATTGCCATCAGCGACGCCATTGCGCCTGTACCCATCATGGAAATCGCCCAGGCAGCTGGAATCGTAGGTTATTCCTACTCGTCACCCTAGATAATTGCTGTTGGTGTTCGGGGCGGCTGACTGTGTGCCTGTTGTTGCAGCTGATAAACGAAGTCATACCGTACGGATGGACCAAGACCAAGATCTCACTGGATGTACGTGAACGTCTCAAGGACCAATTGAACGGCAACTACGTTGTCGTGACGGGGATCACTCCGACCCCGTTGGGCGAGGGCAAGAGCACTACTACAATCGGGTGAGTCTTGGCTGCTGCTATACAGCGATGTCAAAAAGTGTCTGGAAACCTAACAAGATGGATATGCGTCGTGCCATGTTGGCTAGACTATGTCAAGCGCTGGGTGCCCATCTTGACAAGAAGGCGTTTGCTTGCATCCGTCAGCCTTCGCAAGGTCCGACGTTTGGTGTCAAAGGTGGTGCTGCTGGTGGAGGCTATGCGCAGGTGATTCCCATGGACGAATTCAATCTGTAGGTGAACACCTTGTTGTGGCCTTATTTCTTACAACTTGAATGGATGACAACAATTGGTGCTGACATTTGCTTTCTGTGCATGTACTTCATTTGACACGTATTCAGTCACTTGACGGGAGACATCCACGCTATCACTGCCGCCAACAACCTGGCAAGTGCTTCGATATATCATTTTGACAAGCCCATCATTTGGCAAGCCTGTCAATTTTTTGTCATACTCATACATAGCTTGCCGTGTGCGTGTTTGATAGCTCGCTGCTGCTATCGACACGAGGATGTTCCACGAAAAGGCTCAGTCCGACAAGGCGATGTACCGTCGTTTGTGCCCGACCGCCAAGGATGGAAGTCGCAGCTTTTCGCCTGTCATGCTGAGACGTCTGCAGAAACTAGGAATTACCAAGTTGTCTCCTGATGACCTCACGGACGAAGAGATCCGCAATTTTGTGCGTCTAGACATCGATCCTGACACGATCACGTGGCAACGCGTGTTGGATACATGTGATCGTTTTCTCCGTCAGGTGATCGTGGGAGCTGGGCCTGCTGAAAAAGGCCAAACTCGCACGACGGGCTTTGACATCACGGTAGCCAGCGAGATTATGGCCATTCTTGCTCTCACTTCGAGCTTGCAAGATATGCGCGAACGCCTTGGACGCATTGTGGTTGGCATGAGTCGCAGTGGCGAGCCTGTGACGGCTGACGACCTAGGTGTTGGCGGTGCTCTAGCAGTGCTTATGAAGGACGCGATTCTGCCCACTCTCATGCAAACGGTGGAAGGAACGCCCGTGTTCGTTCATGCTGGGCCGTTTGCGAACATCGCTCATGGCAACTCGTCCATCATTGCTGATCAAATAGCACTAAAACTAGCTGGCGAGGACGGCTTCGTCATCACTGAGTGTGGCTTTGGTGCTGACATTGGAATGGAGAAATTCTTCAACATCAAGTGCCGCACCAGTGGACTGACACCGCAGTGCGTGGTGCTCGTCTCCACGATCCGTGCACTTAAAATGCACGGTGGTGGTCCTGACGTGGTTGCTGGCCGACCGGTACGTGCGAGAAAGTGGACAGCATGCTTTGTAACCATCGTCTAACCGCCAGCTTTCTTGTCGCTTCTTGTCTAATCAGCTCGATCCCGTGTACACCGTCGAGAACCTGGAAATGCTGGACCGTGGTTGTGCTAACATGCAGCACCATATTCGCAACGCATTGAAGTTCGGTGTGTCCGTCGTTGTAGCCGTGAACGTGTTTGCCACGGACTCGCCTCGAGAGATAGAGCTCGTGAAGCAGAAGGCACTGGAGGCTGGTGCCACTGCAGCAGTCGGAAGTACCCACTGGTCCGACGGAGGCAGGGGTGCAAAGCATTTGGGTCGCGCTGTCGTTACTGCGTGCGAGAAGATGCGAGCACGCGGTAGTCCATTCAAGTTCCTTTACCCGTTGGAACTTACGATTGAAGAGAAGTTCAAAGTCATCTGCAGTACGTCCAGCTACTCTCGGCCTGTGCCGGTGGCTTACCACCAACGCAGGCCTGCACCCTCGATTTTGTTGAGCCCGTGACTGACGTTTTGCCTTTGTGTAAGCAGAAGAAATCTACGGTGCCGATGGTGTCGAGTTCAGCGAGGAAGCAAAGAAGAAACTGGTGGTCTACTCGAAACGAGGGTATGGCAAGCTCCCCGTGTGCTGTGCAAAAACACACTTGAGTTTAAGCACGGACCCCGCCAAGAAAGGCGTGCCCACAGGCTTCTCGGTCACTGTTCGCGACATCCGTGCCTCGGTCGGCGCTGGCTTCGTCTACCTGCTGTGCGGTGACATGACGACAGTGCCTGGTCTCCCTACACGCCCTGGCTTCTACGACGTTGATCTGGACACGAAGACAGGCAAGGTTGTTGGTCTGTTTTGACCACAATAAGAGTGCTAAGCGATGGTAAGCCACAAGCGAATCGTTTCGCGATGATCACGAGCTCCATCTTTTCTTACATTTACAGGGGCACGCACGAGCTCTTCGACAATGACGAGTCCTTGGCTGTATTCACGCATCTTTTTTTCTCTCGTGAGAAGAATCAACACCAGAACACAGCGCACCTAGTTCATCTCGTCTGCAGCCGCTGTCATTGCCGCGATCGCCTCTTCCGGGTTCCCCTTCGAACGCTTATTCAGGAACGTCTGCCAGTGGTAAAACTGCTGTCCGTGCACTAGCGTCATAAAGTCCTCGCGCGCAATCATCATCCGGAATCGCTCGTCCTCCAGCATGTCAAGGAACGCGAGGCAGTGCGGGTAGACAATGTACTTGGCGTATCGCGGCTCTTTCCAGTACCGGAGATACTGCAGGTAGTTCAGAAACGCTTCGTTCTCAAAGTACCGATTGATCGCGAGGACTACAACCGAGCGACAGTGAAGGCGTATACAGCGATAGAGAGAGCGGTGCGTGAGTGCTCGGTATACAGCAAGGAACCACTTGTATACGCACAGTTGAGATACGCAGGGCTGGCCAAGCACTGGATGAACTCGAGCTCCATCTGGAAGCGAATGTCATTGGACGGCACGTCGATCGCGCTCATGATGCGACGAAAAGGCGGGTGCGTCGTACTTACGCGAACACACCGAAATGGTCGCGTCCAGGTACAGCGTACCGGTACCTGACACCATCGAAAACAATGCAGGCCAGTAGAGTGGTACAGTGTACCTTCCTGCTGCGTGAAAAGTGGTCGTCGCGTCAGTCACTTGCGATGAGTAGCGGACCGACGCCGCTGGATGACCACGAGTATCCTGTCGTACTGGGCGAGTCGCTCCTCGACGATGCTCCAAACGAGGAGCAGTCGAGTGGACACCCGAGTGACGACGTCTTTGCGTCGTTTGGCTACGAGTTCCAGCCCGCGTCAGTGGACAAGAGCACGCCTGGACTCGTGAGTGTCGACGCCTCCGGTAGCGTGCAGGTGCTCATGAGCTCCAGTACTGGAGCGGCTGGAGGCGTGGGTTTCCGTGGGAAGGTACTTGAGCACAAGGAGACCGACTGTATGCTCTTGTTTGACGGCTCGCAGTTCCGACTTGAGCGCTGTCAGTTTTCCTGCACGCAGCTGCGTCACGTGCGTGTGGCTGCGCCACGTCGACGTGGAACTTGCCAGCGTGAACAAGAACACGGCAGTTGCAATGATACTGCTGTAGCTACTGTCACTGGTACTGAGACAATTCTAGTGCCGGGACGAGAGGGCGCTTCTGTGGCATCGATGGTGGAAGCAGTAGCTATCGTCAAGAAACCGGTCAGGAGATCTCAGCGACAGGTGTCTGTTGGCACAGCAACCGCGGCAGACGCTGTGAAGCGCCCAAGAGGTCGACCGAAGGGGTCCATTAAAGTGGCGGCCACGAAAGCTGCTGGTAAGAAGAGGCTCGGGGGGGGAGAGACGTGGGTAGCAGAAACTACTGCTCGGCAGTCACATGAAAAAGGACATGATCCATTGTCTCGTAGTTGAAACGGACGACGACGTGACCGACCTACCGTCTGTGTAAATGCGTGTATTTTACGTGCTGATGGGTAGTTTGTGTCAGCCACACGAAGAAAAGAAGACGCGACGCGTAGAACGAACTTAACGACGAACAGTCGCACACTCAGATCTGAGAACCGCGAGGGTGGTCAATTCATTATTCACATACAAAGCCCAAGATCTGCTGTATACGCACGCGCTCGCAAGCGAAGAGAACAAATCCACAAACGACAAATCAATTGGCAGACGGCGCATCGTTGCGGAGAAAAGAGGCCGCAAGCGAGACACGACCACGCACACAAGCGGACAATCGGCACGCGATGAGCAAGAGCAAAGGGAACAAGCGCCGCGAAATGGACGTCATGAAACTGTGCGTGGCGACTGCCGGATCTGTCGTCCTTGCTGCACATGTCCACTAAGAGAACGGGCTTCTGTGCTTGTGTTTGAATGGCCATTTTTTTAGGATGATGAGCGACTACGAGGTGCACCTGACGGACGAGACAAAGACGACGGACTTTGACGTGAAACTCCACGGCCCCAAAGACAGTGCGTGCGGATTGGAAGACGCTTGTTGTTGCTAGTGCTGCTGTTTCTCGACACGCAATAACGAGAGAGAGAGAGAGGAAGGAAGGTGCTGACGATCTGTTTACTACAATGTGTCTATAGGTCTGTACGAAGGCGGGTCGTGGAAGGTCCATGTGACGCTGCCAGATGACTATCCGTTCAAGTCGCCATCGATTGGTTTTGTGAACCGCATTTACCACCCCAATGTGGATAAAAAGCATGTGATGTTGCCTTGTTGTTCTTGTGATACGATTGCTACAACGCTTGTAATTGACCGTTGAGTCGATCCGTTTACTACGATGTGTCTACAGGTCGGGATCCGTTTGCCTGGATGTGATCAATCAGACGTGGAGTCCGATGTTCGGTAGGAAGCTCTATTGAGTCGTATTGCTAACGTGTTGAGTGAAGGCGACTACTGACTCTTGTGTCCTGGCCAGAGCTGGTCAACGTCTTTGATACGTTCCTTCCTCAACTGCTGCGCTATCCAAACCCAAGTGATCCACTGAATGACGCAGCTGCTTCACTGCTGATGAAAAATGCGGAGATGTATCGTATAAAAGTGAAAGGTGCGCGAGGTCAGTCACAGCGTTTGGCTCTCGGCATGCTAAACGAAGATTTGCGGTTTGCACTCGTCTGTCTGTTGTGATTTTACAGAGTACGTGAGCACCTACGCCTCGCAGTCCATCGAGATGGGCGACGAGGAAGGAGACAGTGATGTGAGTGACATGAGCGACATTGAGTAGTGGGTCGCTCGCCTCCAAACATTTGATGAACGAGCTCTTCCCGCGCTCATTCGTGGCCAAGAGCCAACCTTCATCAGTGGTCGCACTGCAGGTCATTTATGTTTCATTTTGTTACTTTTCCGATGTCGTAAACGGAAAAATGAATAGCTCTCTTCGTTGCTAGCCGGCTGATCTTCGTGTCTACAATTCTGGAAACTAGTAGATCTACTTCGTAAGAAAGTTGGAGGCGTCAGCTTTTCTCTGTATGTAATGAGCATTTCTGTGAAGCCGGTCGCTCATGCTACTCTCGCTGTCCAGATATGCTTCCGACCGCAGTTTCCTACAAGAAAGCAGTGAATAACCAACACAATCCACATGGCGTGCGTGTTTGCAAAAGAAAACCCACCTGAGAAAATCCGGATTACTGCTTGTGGCATCTTGCTCAAGCTTGCCCAGCTCGTCTTTCTTCAGCGTTGCACGCCGCTTCATGTACTCATCACGCTTCTTGGCATCTTCCACCATCTGCTGAGCCATTTGCTTCTTCTCCTCGTTTGTCAGCTTCGACGCTTCCTTACACGACGACTTACCTAGCTTTCGCTGGCGCTCGTCTTCTTCGAGCCGTTTGACCTCCCGAGCCTTTTCCAAGTGCTTGGCACTCGGCCCCAATGACGTCTTATCGACATCTTTCAATTCCACTGCGTCTGTTGTGCTAATGAGACCGTATTTTCCCTCCGTGTCGACAGGTTTGCGTCTCGATTCTGGCTCTGTGCGAGACTCGTCGTGCCCGCGTACCTCAACAGATTTGTTCGCTTGCGCTTTCGACACATCTTGCCGGCTGCTTCGATCCCGACGAGTGCGCTCAAGCCCAGGACGCTCTTCCTCGTGACGCTCACCAGATCTACGCGAGCGTCTTCTATCTGGACAATCGCCCAAGCTACGAGAGCGGTGTCGTTCTCGTCGGTCAATAGAGCTGCGAGACCGACGCCTGTAGTACCGGGCTACTGGACTTCGGGAGCAGCTTTTCTCTGACCAATTCTCGTAACGATGACCTGTGTTCCGTCTAGAGTCCTGCCCGGGCCGCGTGTTCCTATGGCGACCCGCGGAGCGGTCTCTTTGTTGAGATGGAGGAGGTAATTCGCGACCAAAGGCGTCATGATCTCGCTGAGGACTGCGACTCTGACGATGTTTCGAACTACGTTGGCCTCTCGGTGATCTCTCTTCTCGTCCACGCTCACTGGTGTACCGACGTGAATTTGTGCGATCTGATCGACGGTGAGAGTAACTACGCTCGTTGCGCTCTGGTTCTCGTTCGCCGCGACGCGAACGACTACGGCGCCGATCATCGTCATGGTGCGTACGGATTGGCGACCTGCACCGACTCGCCAATTTTTGCTCTAATCCCCTCTCACCAGCACAATCGTGTCCTCTATACACCTTAAGATGTTCCTCCTCTTGACAATTCTCCGTCTTCCTGTCAAGTTCTTCGCCACTGCCATCACTTTCATCACAAAGCTTCCTCTTCTTCCGCAGTCGACGTTTCTCGTCTTTCCGCGCCTGCTTTTTCTCCTTCTTACTGGCCTTCTTAGCTTTCTTAATGTGTTTCAAACGATCCACCTCATCCTTGATCCGCTTCATCTTGACTGGATTCTTCAACACCTCTTCACGAGCAGCCTGCTGTCTTTTGCGAATGAGCATCATCGGATCCTCGTGCAGCCGCTGGAACGCGTCATTCACCGGCAAGGCGCTCTTCGTCATCGCCAAGGAGCCGTACTTTGTCGTGGCGCTCAGATCCACATCCTCTACCGCAGTCTTTTCGTCCTCCCCCTTGTACTCTTTGCCCAGCAAAAACTCCTCTGCAGTCTTCTCCCTAGCTGCCGACGGTCCTTCGTACATCCAGTCGACACGCTCAATTGCCGCTGACTTGTTGCCTTGATCTGCCTGCAGCTGTCGCAGCTCCTGCAGCTGCCTCTCCTGCTCGATATTTTTCCGCAGCTCCGCGACTTTCTTCTCTTCCGCTGCATGCTTTTGCTCCGCGATCCAGACTTTTTCCACATTCTGCACCAAAGAAATAATGAACAAACAAGGTTAGAAAAAACTATTAAATATTTTACAGAGAATAAAATAAAATACAATGCAATAAATTACAAGTCGCGAATCCAATAGCGACAAGTATCCGCTATCGAAAGCACAGAACGCAGCCGAAGAGGGCAATGGACACTACGTACACGTAGATTGGCAGTGTGCCAGCTCTTCTTGGACAGGAACGCCAACGACATGGCGATTACCGAGAGGAAGGGAGGGTGGGCTGGCTGCGTGCAGGTCGGGAAATGGTGTTGCTCACATGAAATTAGGTAGGACACACGAAACAAGGAGCAGCACGAAGATGGGTACAGGATTCGGTCGACGAACATCACGTTTCCGTCCTGAGCTCAGCTGCCACACGTATACTTAGTGTTTCTAGATATGTTGACACGGGACAATGGCCCCTACATTGTGACTGTCCCACCTTCCCTACATTGTGACTGTCCCACCTTATGCCTTGATAATTGCCAGTAGATCCACTTGAATGCAGTAGTCTCCCCTGTAGTTCAATAGGATAAACGTCTTCTCAGCTTTTCTTTGAAGTCGCTTCGCCGCCAACTCCACATTCATTCGCCCAAGACTTTCACTAGAAAAAGATCGTGAAGCACGCAGCACGATTAAGTTTTCTTCGGATTGCAGGCGTATGATCTTAGCAAACTCAACGCTGTTTGAAAGCTCCCACTGTAATCTGCACTAGCGCTGTATAACATGATGCATCCAGCGCGTAAACGCACCCTTGATTATTCTGCAAGCGACAGACTTGACCCTCCATCTCTCCAACTTCGTAGTTTGCCACTACTATCATTTTCATCCGCGCTTTTGTCAAAAGTCTGGTATCATTTATACGTCTACCATCACGCAGGGCACATGCTTAGGTATGTTTCATGCCAAATACATGCTCATGGGATTAGGTAAATAGCCACGGTTTGCAAATGACAACAACATTGCGCGACACGGAGCTTCCCGTTATAGAACAGCACGTACGCGACAGTCTTGAAAAAGGACAGGTAATATGTAGATCAAAAGTTGGTGAGATCTCTGATAAGATCGTGCCGTTGGTGTAGCCAAGATACCTGATCGATCACACCCTTGTTAATGCACCTAGTCAACTCGATACTGTTTTGAGCTACTCAACTGAGTCAATCAACCGCTCGACATTGTGTCGAAGCTTGATCGGACCACGTTTTGATACCGCTTCGATCCCTTACACTTGAAGATCGAGCAACACATTCTGCTTCACTATTTCTTCTACTTCAGGGAATGGTGACAGATCTGTGCTGCCGATCTGCTTAAACTTTTCCGAGTCATTTATTTTTAGGTCAACTAGATCTTTGAGAGACACCGTCACTGAATCTTCACGCACTGTCGGAACAACAAACTCTGTAGATATAAAAGCGGTCGTAGTCTGCTTGACGAACTATTGGATCCAGGCTCTAAGGCGGCACGTAATGCGGTTTCAGGTCCGTCATATTCCATGCGTCGCCACAATTTACGAACAGATCCTTTACATACGTCACTCTGCCTGAACCAGATCTTGTCTATCGTCCTCACCTTCGCTATAGTCCTGCTTTTCGAACACGACAAGTCTTTCTGAGACCGCTTGTCTCTGTTTGTCACAATCTTGCTAGTCGGTTTGTCAGCTTTTACTACTGCGTCCGTGCGCTATCGGTGATGTGCTGCTCATGGGCACAATTATATTTGTTAGCACAGCTGCATAGCTGCTCTTGCGATTGCATTTTGCTGCTTTCATTCTCCACTACAGATTCGTTTTCTTCACGTTCAGATAGCTTACAATGCTCGTGGAGATTTCTTGATGCTAGCGCTGTGTCTCCCAGAGACCCACAGGCTACTTTCTATCTGCGTAAAACTAAGCTCGACTCATTCTATGGTTTGCACACCCGCTACCCTGCACTTGTGCAGTGACTGATACAAACAGCGTTGAATAGCCGCCGGCAATGCATCCAGCATAAATCACATCGATACTAGCGATGATCGCAATGATGAGGTGCCAGAAATTCATCCGCTGTCTCCAGTCATCGAAAACAAAGACTTTGAAAAGCGCGTTCATTTGTTCCTCATCCGGCTGCTCAAGTTGCATCCATCTCTTGTTCGTAGTTCACTCCGATTCCCCGCTAAATTTGCAAAGGAACGGACGATCTTGTCTACTGACAAAAGCACCAGAAGCATAAGGTATCAGCGCTGTCGAGAAGTTTAAATGCTAAGAGCGCGACCTTTGGTACCAGCGCATTCCGCTGCCTCGTATTGCTACACTTACATGGCAACATCGAACGATCCGGCGTTATGGTTGACACCGTTATCGTGATCAAAAGTGATGCGCTGCGGTGTGCATTCGATTGTTATGTGCTTCGTTGACATCTTGTGCATACAACGCTCGCTTTCCAACACTGTGCGCTGTTTGTTGGAAAACCAACATGGCCAGAGCGCCATCCCCCTCGCCATCTTTACACTTGCGAGCTTGTCTCGTTTTGTCGTTCACTCGGTCAAACCGTAGTCCTACTGCGATCTCTCACATGAGGCAGCTTGTGCAGACGACTGCTAACTTTAACGGAGTTACTAGAGCCCTGGCCACCATGCGTACCGATGTAGTGTCTGCATCACATCACCTTCCAGTGAAAACAAAACACCAGCACGCAATAACTTCAAGCTGTGAGGTCTCCACAAGTCCATGTTTCACCTTCGCTGCCGCCTCGACGATCCTCATACTGGACAAGTGCACCATATCCGATTGGTTACTAACAAATGATGCAAGTACGATAAAGGATGGCTGACACGATCGAAATGAGCTGTTGCGGCGTCCACATTTACAAACGGCTACCATGCTGACGTACAAACCATTCGACATGACCACTCGCCTATTTATACCAACCGTATCCATACTGCAGTCAGTCGCTTCTTCCTGTTGTCAGCCACTCGTTCAAGACGACAATATCAAGACTAGTCGAACAGCTTTATCGGATCCCTATGAGCTCGTCTGCGGTGGTATCTGCACTGTTAAAATGGCTCGAGGGCAATGGAACGACCGACATGTTGCTGGAAATTCGATACCTTGGCAAATGCGAAGGTCATGGGGTGCTCGCCAAGCAGTCGCTCGCCTGTGGTCAAGTGGCATTGCAGATCCCGTTCAGGCTCACAATGACGATCGAGTCTGCCGCTCACTCGGATCTTGCACTCGTGCTCAAAAGGCATCCACAGATCCCACCTGATGAGGTGCTGGCACTGCATCTCATGCACGAGCGGAGCAAAGGCAAAAGATCGTTCTTTGCTCCGTTCATCGCGTCGTTACCAGCTACATTCGACTTGCCTGTGTTCTGGTCAGAAGCCGAGCTGATCGAGCTCAAAGGCACAAATGTGCTGCTGCTGACACAAATGATGCAGCGACAGCTAAAGAGGGACTACCAGAGCATTCACCAAGAAGTGACGGACGAGTTTCCCGAGATTTTTGCACCGCTGCCGACACTGACGCTCGAGGATTATACATGGGCAATGGCTGTGATCTGGAGTCGTGCGTTTGGTGTGACCAAAGACGGGAGGTACTTGCGTCTGCTGTGTCCAGCGATGGACATGTTCAATCATGATGTGAACTTGCACAACCCACTGGATGATTTTGTTTCGTTCGATGAAGAGAAGCAAATGATGGTCCATCATGTTCCAACCGAAGTACCGAACGGATCTGCCGTCAACATTAGCTATGGGCAGTACTCGAATGCGAAATTGCTTTATTCGTATGGCTTCGTCGCACAAGAGAACTCTAGACGGGCTGTGGACTTTTGGGTGAAGATTCCACCAGCAGATCCGTATTTGAAGCTGAAGCAAACCCTTCTGGATACGAACGAGCTTACGAAGGAACAGACGTACGACTTTTGCGGCACTCTTTTTCGAAATGATGTTGACGAGAGACTCCTCGCTACACTGCGCGTGGTTTTGATGGACGAGCAGGAGATTCGTCTGTACAAAAAGGTGCGTTGTTTGTGAATCGGCGTTCAAGTATCTCTGCAGCTTTAGGTTGACAGAACGATCGTTACGGCGCATGTTTCTGCTGCAGGCTTTCGAGTCATCTATCATCAGCGCTCGCAATGAACTGGCTGTCTACAACAACATACAAAATTCCTGTCGCCGTAAGCTCGAGACTTTTCCGACGACGTACGTGCAGAGTTTTTTTATGGTCACATGTTGATTGCTTTGGTAATTTTTCTTCTCGTCATGCGTGGCTGCAAACAGGCTCGAGGAGGACAAGGCGATACTGGCTGATGCAACGGCAGAGTCGAGCTTTCGGCTGCTGCTTGCGGTTCAAGTGCGCATCGAAGACAAACAAGTGTTTGCAGGGGTCATCGACACAATCGAACAATGGAAACACGTCCTAGCTACTTGTCCTGAGAAGTACCCACCTAGTACTACTCGGTTGTAAGTACTTGACAGAGACAAGATGTACTACGTTGCTACCTGCTTCCTTTCAATGAGCTCTATTGAGTGTTTACGTGCCTGACAAGGACCTCGATGTGAAGCGAAGATCCTCGATCCTCTTTCCAAACTCAGTTCGTCAGCTTCCGTTCAAGCAACTGGCGCAACACGCTCGGCGTGAAGTACGGCAAGCGCTCATTCACCTCTTGGTCCGAGAGGTATTTCGCACCGCGAATGTAGCCACTGCATCTTGGTGATCCACAGCGGCAGTCAAATTTCTCATCCATGTCCCACTCGCTCGTAGAGTAGTCAAAAGTCAGATGGTTGCCCTCTTTGATCGGCTTGATAGCCACAAACGACACTATCGCCTCACTCTCCACCACATCGATGCGCGTATTGGGATCACAACTATGGTTCACAAACTCAAGTCCGCCAGTAAAGTCAATGTGCTTTTCTGGGGTGATCTGCACCGTGAACCGAGTGGGCTTTGAGTACTGCATCAAGTCACGAGTCATTCCCCGATATGTATCAATACGCTCCCTGCACATGTTTTTCCGCAAAAGATCCGTACCAGAGTTCCAGGGGCCGAGCCAATAACATCGCCCTGATTGAAATTCTGGCCTGCCACTGCTGAGCGCCAGTGCTCGTTCCTGAGCAAATAAGTATGAGGTATACAAACCAACCTTTGATCAGTCAAGTTGCACGTTTCAAAGCACAAAAGCAGCCAAACCTACAGCTGCTCAATGTAAAATCGTCCGTCGTCTGAGCCTGAGGGGGCATAAATCAGCTCGCCACGTTGCTGTGCTTCATGGTTTCGAGCTCCGTTTGCCTGCTGGACGTTCGTCAAAGACGTGAGAGCTGCAAAGTGACGACGGGGGATGGAAATCACTGAGCGCGGGGCGAAGCTGATGTTCCGGAAAAGCATCGGGAAAGATTCAGCTGGTCAAAGTGGTTTGTGAGACGAAACTCGAGTGGCCGAAGATTCGGCCTCACGTTCACAAGGCGTGGCACCTGTGGCGGCTGCTGAACTCGTACCTCTTGATTTAAGTATGGACATCTGTGCCACGTGGGACAAGGGGTAGGGTCAAGTGGTGACTGCTTGACCGAGTAATTATTGAAGAGCGCGAATGAGACGAGCTGGTGCATGGTCTCAGCAGTATCCAATACGACAATTGACTTGCAATCCTATACTGTACGAGCACAAAGAGCTGCTTACATGGTGGTTGCCTCCTGATGACCTACACAGTGATGAGTGCTTGTTCTTAAAACACGACGAACGTGAAGCAGTTCCTAGCACGCGCAACTTCGCCGGCAATGGTAAATAAGCTACCATGTGCTGGCCCACATATTATGGACCGCTATACACGCATACAAGTACAGATGCATAGCTTGGGTACGCTGTTTGCAGCTTGTTGACCGTGCGGTGCAGATATGCTACGCGATCGGTCGACTCGATGTAGTCGTGAGCGCATATTTCGCTGTATAGAAGATCCGTAATCGAGACGAAACCTCTTGCACTGGAATACGCCCTCGTTTACTGAAAGAGAGCTATGGGCAGATTGCTTCCAGAGTGGCGTCCGTACCTCTCTATTGACGTCTGAACGTGTTTGCTGTAGTCTTCGGCAGGCTATGCGTCTGGCTACAGTTGTTTGCGATCTGGCTACTGTCATCAAATTATTGTTCAGAAATTGAATCTGGCTGTTAAATAAAATCATTCAATTGGTCGATATGTTTCTTACAGATGAGGTTGGGTTAGAGATGGGCAGTAATGAAAGTCGAGATGGCTATAGTAACGTTTGATTGGCCTTTATAAATGGTCAAATAAATGAGTACATGGTTTGCGTTTAATCATTGGACACCGTTAATCAGCCACCCCCCTTTCGTTAAACAGCCATCACCCACCATTAATTAATATATCTCCGTATTCATTCATTTTGAAAGACGTTGTATTTGATTGGATAAAAGTAAGGCTAAGAGTTTCTGAGTAATTTCTATAATCACACGTGCGTCCATTTTTTTGCCGCCTTCTATATTGATTTTATTCTTGTTTTGTGATTGCTCACTACAATGAAAAGTCTCGGGCCACTTCCTGAGATTGAGCACGATTCTTTGGAGGAAGCAAAGGCAAAAAATTGAAGCCCATTCACAGCAACAAGGCTATGTCGTTGTTGTCAAACGCACAAAAAAGGGTAGGCAACAAAAAAGATGGTGTCGCGATATGTTTTTTCTTTGCCTTCTTTCAGTCAAACCCCCCCAGCGATACGGAAAGGGCCTCGCCAACGTGCTACTTCCAGCCGTAGCACCAAGTGTTACTTCCGAGACAGTATCAGGCGTCAAGAAAGTGGACATGGGATGACACAGTCACAAGTGGAGATCAAGATCATAATTCCTCTGCTCACCACTTTGCTCATCTTCATTGTCGCGCGTTATCGGAAAAAAATCGTCAATCAGTCTTATTGATGGGTCTTTCCGGTATAGCACATGGTCAAATTGTTTCTCGAAAATTTTATTAAAATGCACTTGTCTAGTCGATAATTTCGTTCATGATAGCGGACGCAATGCTCAATCAGAAGAGCTTCGGCATCTTTTTCTCTTATCGCGCTAATAACGAACTGTAACTTTGACAACCCACTTGCTGATATTTTCATTAACACTGTTTGCCTTGTGACCGAGTCCTGTACACAAAGCAGCACATAGCAGTGCGATGTTCTTGATGATAGATTCAACTTAACTTGTCCAACTTCGTAAATAGCGGACGGTTCAGCTTAACCATTGGCCCTTTTATAATGTGTTTATGTATACGCACGTGACAAGGAGCGAGAGCATCCTCGTATCCATTGCTTTAACAGAAGCTGGCCATAACTTTCTAGCTCGTCTTATAGACAGAAAATTAACAACGGTAGTACGTATATGTATTGCCGCCACCACCGAAACTGATAAAACAAAAGATGTGCGTGTAGTTCAACGGACTCTCATACAACATCCTGCAAAATACTTGTGATCTGTCTTTTATAGGGTTGTGTAGTTGCATGACCAATCAAAAACAACGTCGTTCAAAATGATTATCGAATTATTTCCTCAATTATTCTGTAGCGGAGCTATCCTAACTCCTTAGTCAGAGAAAAACTTCTGAGCTCGTAGAGTCTCTAAGACGAAGCGGATGTTAACTTAAAGTGTAACGGAGTAGCCCGTTACGTGATATTGACACCAAACGGTGTCAATAGGGAGGTTGTCTAGCGTGACAATTCCCTACCAACATTATCCGAGCTGGATCAAATTAAAGGAATATTATTCCCTTGTAGGATAATATTCATGCGCTCCTCAAAGATTGGTTCATATAAGTCATATCAATCATAGATTACCACCAATCGCTGCTAGACGCGCGCAATGAGTGGTGAGCAGGTTGTCGTCATACGACGGTGTAGTTTAGTTAATTAGATAAAGACTGGAGTTATGTTGATATTTTAACTTTATTCAATTCAGTTCTCTTTTTACCTTTACTTGAAAGAGTCGTTCAAGTAGAATAGATTCTTCTGTATGTACTAGTGTACGTGAAGTTTCGCGGCACCCCAAACAAAGGGTTCCCGTTACACCCGGTAGCACTTCGTATTCCGTCCAACGACTACTTAGTGTCCGTCCGACATAAACATGTTGGACGTAGAAGACAACAGCTTTCGCGTCACACATGAAGGCTACTCCCATCTTAGTGACTCAGAAGGGGAGATAGTCGGCCGCATGAGTGTGCTCATGGGCGAACCCTCCATCAGCGGTATGTTGGAGTCTCTAAACAGCGACCAGCAACATGCTACTATCAACAGGTTCCTACAAGGGGAACTTGCCGTCGAAAGACAAAAGATAGCCTTGCGACAACAGCAAGGCTCCCATCAGTTGATAAGCTTGCCGACGCACACGCGTCGACCCGAAACCTTGAAGGTAGATATCTAAAGGTACAAGGTAACTGATAAAGATTCCACTTTTAGATGGTTCGTCGAGTTAGACGACGCCATCAGGGCCCGTCACATCGAGGGTGACGAGATGCAAGTCACCTTTGCCCTGTCAAATTTGACAGGACGAGCAAAGATTAGGGCTCAAGCTTCAAGATTCAAACGTGTTTGAGTAGTTAGAGATACTGAAGTCTCGACTTAAGAGAAGTTTGAGCCGCCGAGAGCCGAGTTCAGAGCACGCTCTGCACTCCTGAGGCTCAAGCAAGGTAAGCGTGATGTGCATGCTTACGCACAACACCTGCGCTACCTTGCGAGAAGCGTCATGGAAAACCCTGTTGATGAGCACACACTCATCAAGGTGTTCATCTACGGCCATGTAGATGGACAGGTGAAGACCTACATGTTCCGAGAGGACTTCCATAAGCCGGAAAAGGCGATAGCGTATGAGAGACAAGAAGACTCCAGCCTGAGACGGTCTCAGGCTAACTCGTTAAACTATCGTCCGACGAGACGACAGGAAACAAGAGGTCCCGAACCAAAAGACCTCTGTTACATCGAGAGCGAGAACTTTCGATCTCTGAGTCACAAGCGAACGGCAAAATGCCATCGCTGTCAGAAGATTGGACACTACGCTCATAAGTGTAGTGTCCCGAGCACCGGAACACGTCCAAAGACAGGACGTGATGACCGCCGTTGGCCAAGGAAGGGTTCGAGGCTCGGGTCCAATGTCGCTAAACCTCGACAGCAAGTCGGACCGTCAAAAACGGTCAGGGTCAGTAGGGGCGGAGCAATCTGCTAATCCAGCAACGTCAAGAGAATTCGCAGTACTCTTGACAAAAATTGCTCCCAGCACACAGTCGCTGTTTGCTACTGACTTTAGTGATGAGAAGTCTCTCATCACTTTGAAGATCGAAGTGACAAGCGGAATGTCACTTCGCGCCCTGGTTGACTGTGGGGCGTCGAACAGTTTTATTCGACGCCAGTCGCTAGAAGATAGTGACTCAACTATGTTGAGAAAGATTTCCCTCCAACGAGGATGACGGTGTGTCTTGCTACAGGCGCATCCGTAACAATTGAGAAACGTGTAGTGGGAACGCACTACACGCTAGAATAAAAGCAGTACGATGATGACTTCATCGTACGGGATTTGGATGACAAATTTGATGTCATCCTTGGTCTGCCATGGCTTAGAAAGTACCGGCCATGTGTTAGGTGGCAGTATCGATCCGTGAAGATGCCTGCCGGTTGTTCATCGGATGGCCATCTGATGAACGTCTTGGAGCGTCCACAAGCGTGTGGATGTACTACGAGTGAGTGCGATGGCCTCACTTGTGGTAAGTCTTTAGTACGACTGCACAAGATCACAGCGTAAAAGGATACTACACTGTGTAACCATCTTCCGGCACCTGTGTAGAGACACAGGCTTCGCCGAAGGTTCACCACTCGAAGAGATCAAGTGGACTGAACTACGGATGCACACCAAGAAGGGTGCATCCAAGAAACAAGATTAGTGTCGTTTAAAATGATCAGCACGTTGAGGCGAGATCGACCAACAAAGAGTAGATCGTAGCGCAAGCCCGATCATCTATCAGAGAGTCGATCGAAGAGGAGATGAATGTGGTAGTGCACCCACAGTCAGTACACGTATTGGAAGAAAGTCCCAGCGTTCCTGAGAGTGATGACTCCTGAGAGAGTTATGTCGAGAATGTGGATCCCCAACCACCTGCGGATGTGTTGTTCGAGGAAATCACCGAGAAATTGAATGTCTTGGTGAATGACGGATCAATAGTAGGCGCTTATACACTTGATCTGGTGACGCCTTTAAAGTCAGCTTCGGAGGTAGTCAAGTTGCCAACACTAACATCTGAAAGATTCTTGCGAGATCTGCGTAGTGACAAGATCAAGCAGATCTGCGTACTCGTCACAGAGGACGAGTACGTCGTCGATATTCGGTCGGCACAAGTGTTTACTGAGAACGAACGGTTTCTCAGTAGCTCATCGATGGAAGAGAGTGTCCTCAATGAGAAGACTCGGATTGAGCGATACACGTCTTAATCTTGGGAGTCATTGAAGACAAATCTTTTGTATGAGGATTTGGTCGATCTCAGGGATTTTTCCCTGAATCTTTGCCATGCGAGATGCCTAAAGACAAAGGGACTCGGCATGAGATCGAACTGAAACCTGGTTTGGAAATACCGTGTCATTAAGCAGTGGCCACTGCCTCGTGAACAGGTCACAGCGATCGACAAATTCTTTGCCGATCGTTTAGCAGCTGGTCATGTGAGGGAATCAACTTCCCCACACAGCTCTCCGACCTTCTGTGTGCGAACGGCCACAGGAGGGTGGAGGACAGTACACGCGTTCAACAAATTGAACGCTGCAACTGTACCGGCTCGAACGCCGATACGTCGTCAGTGATGGTACGGCAAAAAGTACGATCTTAACGTCCATGGATCTGATGGATGGATTCTGTCAGATTAAAATGCGTGGACGGGACATCCCGTACACAGCAGTGAGCACCCCCAGTGGTATGTTCTGGGAGTGGCTAGTGATACCACAGGGTCCAAGTAAATCCCCTGCAACGTTCAACAGATGTGTGAAGAATTTGTTGCGATCGGTTCGAGATTTTGCACCGATTTACTTTGAAGATGTATTCGTCCATAGCCGGGCTATATGTGGAAAGATCGGCGTTGAGATTCATAGAATCCACGTCCGGATGGTTTTTACTCTAATGCGAGAGCATAAGTTGTTCGCGAACCTCAAGAAGTGTGTCTTCGCAGCGAACGAAATGCCACTTCTTGGCTGTATCGTGGGTAAAAATGGCGTACGCCTTGATCCGGATAAGACCAAGGCGATTAGCGAATGGCCTGTGCCAGTTGACGTCAATAAACTTCGAAAGTTCCTTGGCTTAGCGGTGTATCTGCACAAGGACTTGCGCAACTACGCCGAGATGACCGCTCATCTCTCTCGTCTGCTAAAGAAAAATGAGAGGTGGTCATGGGGCTCTGAGTGTCAGCACTCTTTTAAAGGCATCAAGAAAAGCTTGACACAATCGCCTGTGTTGGCGATTGCAGACCAGGACAGACCATTCTATGTGGTCTGTGACGCCAGCAATTTGCAATCGGCTGCGCGCTAACGCAGTACGACTCAGACGGCGTTGAGCGCGTCGTCTGTTATCAATCAAGTCAGCTGCAAGCAGATGAGCTTAATTACCCAGTGCATGACGAGGAACTTCTTGCCATGAAATATGCACTGGCCAAGTTTCGGGTATGTCTCTTAGGAGATAGACCCTTCATCGTTTATACCGACCTTGCGTCGACACGCACTGCCGTAAACAGTCCACACCTCTCGCAAGGAATGGCGAGGTGGCTGTCTTTCTTCGCGGAGTACAACTTCTCCATCGAGTATAAACCAGGACGACGTAATGTCGTCGCTGATATTCTTTCGCGTCGGCCCGATTTCGAGCCGACTGATCTACCCAACAGTAGGGGTGATCCCACTGTCGCGACACTATCAGTGAGTGTTCCGTCTTCGAATCTGCTCGGTGACGTGCGAAAAGCATACGCAGAAGATGAGTCTCTTCTGCGATTGATGGATTGCGTAACCCAATCCGTGTAATCAAGCTTTGAAAAGCTTGTCGTCTCAACACTGCTCTTCAACCGAACGGTATCTGTCCGTTATGGACTGCTGTACTATGCAGCAGTCAACGGCGACAACCTCGTGTCGTCGTTCCGGTTCATAATGATATGTGATTGCGCATCATTTATGAGTATCACGATGCCCCAACCAGTGGAAAAGAAAAACTTACCTCATGGTGAGTCGTGACTTCTACTGGACCCGTCAGTATGATTTTGTGCGCAAATACATTCGCGCTTGCGAAGTTTGTCAACGGGTCAAGAATAGTCCTTCATACCGCACACCCTTACAGCCTCTTCCGATTCCATCAGAGTGTTAGCAGTCCGTATCGATGGACTTCGTATTCGGGTTTCCTAAACGCGTTCACAAGAATACTGGTATTCTTGTATATGTTGATCAGTTCAGCGAAATGGTACATCTTGTTGCTGTACCGGAGTCAATCACAGCACAGGGCTGTGCACGTGTCTTCATCGATACTATCTTCCGACTTCACGGGTTACCCCGTGAACTCGTGTCCGATAGGTACCCCCGCTCCACAGTGGAGTTCTGGCAATCCGTGTTCCGTTCACTTGTAACACGTTTGAAGATGTCGACTTCTGACCATACAGAAACAGATGGTCATACGGAACGCGTCAACCGCGTCCTCGAAGAGATACTTCGAGGGTGTGTTTACTCGCTTACGAGTTGGAGTGAGTTCTTGCCGATGGCGGAAATCGCCATTTACAACTCGGTGCTCGCGTCGACAACGCATACACCATTATTCAGGAATGGCCAATGCCATCCACGCTTACCCGCCTTCTTATAATGTGACTCTAGTTTTGTGGGTAAGTGGACTCTCTCAAAAGAAAACAATACGGTTCTTGCTCATCATACGTCGACAATGGTGTCGACGTGATGAATGCCGATGTCGATAGGATCGACGTCGATGATGACTATGACGACGATGGCATATTCAGTATCGCCAATGACCGCCAAAGTGAGGACACTGACGCCCTCATTAGTGAATACAACGTTCTTTCAGCAGTGCACACGAAGCGCACTGCTGTTGACAAGGATGAATCAGCAGAGGAATTTCTGCTGACTCGAGAAGAGGTTGTGCGCTTCGTTCAAGACTCTATTGCAGATGCAATAGACAAGCAGAAAAGAAACGCAGACAAACACGGAAGAGAAACTGTTCTTTCATTTGATGAAGGAGACCTGGTTTTGCTGTCTACAGTAAATTTACCGAAACACGCAGTGACAAACGTGGGCAGCAGTAAATTAATATCCAGGTACATCTACCATTTCGTTTGTAGCGCCGATTAGGCAACGCATACACGATTGAACTGCCCCGTAAGATGCGTACGCATCCTACGTTTTACGTTGGTCATATACGCGCGTACTATCAGTACGAGACCGTTTCGAGATGCGAAGAACACCTCCAAGGTCGAGAGTTGAGACCACCTTCGAGTGGTCCCGTTTCAACGAGCCAGTCTGGTCGACTAGCGAAGCGACCTGTTCATGCAGCTCAGCGATGTCTCGACGAGATGCAGTCAGCTCATGACGAAGAGAACGAGTCGAATGTTCATTCTCAAGTAGCGCGAACGCAAAAGCAGTACAGTCGTCCGAACAATCGTGCGTTAGGAAATTATAATTATACCTTACAAGATCCTCAAGCCCACAACGTCGAGTTCGTTCGTGAGCCACGTCATCTTGCAACTGATCCGTTAGACGGTTCAGTTCCTGAACATCAAGCTGATCCAATCCTCGAGCCGGATCAGGTGTTCCCACCGCCACCACATCCTTTGGTGGACTCAAGCGGTGTTCAACGCTTCCTAGTGGAGCGTATTTTGAACCACCGCGATGTGAATGGCGTCCGGACAAGTTACCTCGTCCGCTGGCGTGGCTATCCTCCGGCGTGGGACAGCTGGGAGCATCGTGCCCAGCTGATTGTTGATGTCCTTGGTCTCGTCAAGCAGTACGACGAGACCCACCCGCTGCGTTTGAAGAAGGGTGTCGGAAAATGACCTCCCCGTACGCGAGTACAGGGATTGCAAGGTGTCAATCCCTTCGTCCATCTCTGAAGAGATGCGCGCTCTCCAGTAGAGATCATCATGATATCTAGACCTCCCTAGGGGCACGATTTAAATTGTCCAGGCAGCCTGGACACGAATTACCCCTTGAGAGACAGGGTAATCCAGCCTCTCTTGACAGTCGGTGCAACTTGTATCGCGCCCCGACTGGGTTGCGTTTCTCAAACCTGATGCGAGCTGCATCAAGTTTGGCGAGCCAAGCCTCACGGCCAAAGCAATCGATGTTATGGATGAAGGCATTCCATCCCTGCACCAAGGCTTTGCCGTCTCGTACACGGCTATAATTGTACCACCGATGTTTGAAGAACGCATCGGTGAAGAACTCTTCCTCAGCACGGATAGTTTCCGTGCTGGAATCAGGTGGACAAATCTTCCTGCAATCGAACAACAGGATTCTATCCCGTTCGGTAGTCGTTTGCCGGCCAACCAGTCCAACTCCCTGGATGGCGGCTTCCATTGAGACTCCACTTGAGGAGCGTGGCGCAGGACATTACGGTCCCTGGCCTCTTGATTGGTGCCAGCATGAGCACTAACACCAGTGTTACCCCGATCCCTTGAGTTACTTCAATCTTGGTGATGTATAGGCGCATCACCACCACCACCACCATCCCCACGCGTCCTATCGTTGGATGGACTTGCGTGAGGCGGAGACTTATCGGAATAATCACTCGATCCGAAGGTCTCGGTCATGATGCTGCCACGCTGACCAGAGCCAGTCAGCCTGGCTCTTGCAGTGTCCGCCCCAGGTGATTCCGAGGCGTGAGAAGTCGCCTTCGAGTCGAATGCATCATCCGACTCTCCAGAATAGATTAGCTTTATATCAGACTCGTCTTGTTTACGACCCGGAGTACCCGCTGCAGACGCAAGGGATGTACTTGTCGCACGTGGTGACTCACCACGTGGAGGATTCACGACAACAAGCGACGAATCGCCTGCTGCCTGATTCTTGAGAGGCACTTTCCGCGGCCGCACGCATGAGTGCGGCCGCTCTTTTTGCTGCTGCAGTAGCAGCTCGCGTGGTTATCGAAACCATGCGATGGATCGGCAAATGAATGGAATTTGACGAACAAGTGCTCCCTTTCCCAGAGTGATCCAACAATGGCCACCCTGTCCCAATCTTTTCGAATTCAATCGAAGGGTGATTGATGGTTAAGGGGGGGTGATGTAACGGGGTATCCCGTTACATGAAATTGACACCAAACGGTTTCAATAGGAATATTGTCTAGCATGACAATATTCTACCGATATTATCCAGGATGGATAATATTGAAGGAATGTTATCCCCTTTTGGATAATACTCATTCGCTGCTCCAAGATTGGTTGATTTAAGACGCATCAACTATAGATTGCCACCAATCCTGCTAGACACGCGCAATGAGTGGTGAGCAGGTTGTCGTCATACGACGGCGTAGTTTAATATAGTCAGATAAAGATTAAAGCTATATTGATAGCTTTACTATGTTAAATACAGTTCTATTTTTAACTTACTTGATCGAGTCGTTCAAGTAGTTTAGCTTCCTCTGCACGTACTAGTGTGCGTGAAGTTTCGCGGCACCCCAAACAAAGGGTGTCCCGTTACTATAATACACAAGGGTGGGGGTGGTTAACGAAAACCTGGCGGGTGGTTAACGTTTCCCATAATTTAACGTAATATATTCCAATATGTTCCGCTAAATTTGGCAATGTGTCCTGTGTCATGTGTTTGCGTGGTCTTGCTGTTTGAGGAGGTCAAAGGCTACCGACATGAGTCCAATGGCCACCATTATGAAGGGTGTGTGCGGAAAACAAAAGTTTGGTGTATAAAAAACTATTTTCTACCTTGCAAAGGCCCAAACGTTGGGCCTAGAATAATTATTTAGCTTAGATGTCGTTAAAATGGTTCAGTCATCTAGAGAAAGTCGTGGGATGACACAGGTCATAACAGATTAATCAAAGCTTTACATCTCTTCAGTCGAATGAAAAATCAGGCTAAGATCCTTTAAATCTACGAAAATAGGTACAATGACTAAAGAATCCGCCTGCACTAATACATACTACGTAGAATAAGAGCCAAAATTTAAGAGGGATCCGAGATGAATTTTAGAACAATGTAGTAACAAGTAGTAAGCCCTAAGACTTAAACTCTTTGACTCAAGATAAAAGCTGAACTTTCTACGATTACGTACAGCAATTGCCAACCCGAAGGGTCAATTTATTAGAGACTGTGCGCAAGGTGAATGAAAGATCATTTAAATCTTAATTATCTGCATTCCTGTCTGTGTATTTGTAAATAACGCGGCTAGGTGAACCTTATGAACGGATTAAGTGCGAATAAGCCTGGCACCTCTGTGTATGTGAATATCGCCAGGTGTACTCTACCCGCCATACGAAGCGCGATGTGGCTGTGCCCTACTTGGAGGTGTCACTCGTTGGTTATTTCACTAATTGCTACTGCGGAGTGTTGTATTGTTCACACTCGCACATGATTGGCTTAAAAGTAAAGGAGGGACATTAGGCTAGCAAGCAAATACTATACACTCAGGAGCAGCCGAAATCTTGCGCATTGAATGCGACCGATTTTGATCTAAAAACTTGGTTTGAAAAGAGGTTATGGTCACGTTTTTCCCTTGGTAGCAGTGAGAGCTTCTTCCATGTAGGTTTCTGTTGTTGTATATTATCATATGTCGTCGGTCACATTTTGTGGTTGACAATTTACCGTGCAGAATCATCCTTTGCTTACCTTTCTAACATCTTATTTTATGGTATGTCATTAGCGTTAACAAGTATATTTACACACCAAGCTCTATCAGCACTTAGATATTTTAGCACACAAAAATAAAACACACTTACGAGCTGCTTGCCACTCAAAATAAAGCATAGTAGATATAAATTAAAAGTGAACTCCTTGTACTTAGTTCCTTGTATTAGAGAGCGATACATAGAGCTCGATCCCCTAACTACCATCTAACTTTTCAAACACGAATGGTGAGGCTATGTGTTACTCTGCGCAGGCTGAATGTTGGACTGCCAAAACTTACATTCGCGTGTGTGTCTGACTGTCTGTAGATAACGCTGGGTGTACCTTACACGTCTACTACGGGCGATGGATCCTTTCTCCTCTCAGGTAGATATGCGCTTTTAGTGACACTGCTTGATCATAACAATATAGCGATCGCGTCAGGGTGTAAGTCACGCATATGCGCTACCCGCACATGATTGGCTCAAACGTGACGTAGGACGAATAGAGGGATAACTAGATTATATTCGACACATTGACGCAGATGAAGTCTCGCATCTCTGACGGACATAAAATACGGTTTAGAAGTTGCGAAGCCGATAACGTTAGAGCTTATGGTGCCTTTCTCTCGGTGGAAGAGAAAGCTCCCTCAATCCATTTAAGTTTTATTACGTTAAGCGATATTTAAACATGCACCAAACAATGTAGAAAACAAGATTTATACCACAAGAGATAATTTAGGTACCACAAGAGAATATGCCGCAAATGTTCAGAAAATAAAATTAAATGATGTAGAATTTATAATAGGCCACAAGATGATGAAAAAAATCGTATTTAAGGTGTATACAGTACGTACAGCAAAATATAATCTAGTCCAATTTTTGAATCCAAATTACATTTTGATCAGTTGTATATTCGAAAAGATGAACAGACACACGAAATACAGACATCTGTCTTGCTAGCGACAAGGAATATCTTAGCAGCTTTCGCCTGAGGCCAAGATTGGTGCAGCTGTCTTTTAAACTGCATGAGGTATGAGCACACGTTATATTTGTTCATCACATCATTTTGATAGTGAAAAACTTTTTATCGTGACCTAAACAAAGAGTAACATTATTGATCGAGTGACAGCTACTTATCGATGCAAACGAATTTGTTCTTGTGAACTCTCTTTCCTATACGCTCTTGTCATTGCGCTGCTGCTCGGTTGACATATCAAGAGCTACAAAGTATGGTACAAATACATCTGGTGTCCACTCACCCCTAAACCCATTAATGGCTTGCAACCGGAAAACTTCGCTTCAGTCTGTTACAACGTGCTAATTTTTGTACACACAATCGCAAAGATTCCATGACTTTTCACGCACAATCAATCGTCTGCATTATGATACCAGCAACACAAAATGCAAACATAATTAATAAAAAACAACCTTAATTTGTGAATTGAGGAACTAATTAGGCACTTCAAAAGGATCAATAACTGACATCTTGGTTAGTATAGCAGCCTATACGCCTACAACGCAATAAGGATGTCGTGCTTACGTACTCGGTTACAGGAAGAGAGCTTCAAATGAAATCGTTCGGGTAGTTGATTCACTTGTCGGCATCCGATATGGTGACAAGATATACGATGTCCATGTTGATGTCACTACCGCGAAAATTGACCTCAGGAGAAAGCTGCTCAGAGGTGCCTTTATGTTACAAGGAGGACAGATGTCTATATATTGTGTGCCGGTTTATGTTTGCAAATGCACAGACGATAAAAAGTCTGGCTTGGACTTCCAAAAACACTACATTTTGTTTTGTCAAACGAATAGTATGCACCTTAATTCTTTTTTTTTTCGTTTTCTTGTAGTATATTTTATTTTCCAATCTTGTGGTAATTTGTTTCAATTAACTCGGGATGTAGCTTTATCTCCCCTTACCTATGTCAAAGGGCGAGCTCCAGGAGCTTGCTCCTACATATTTACGGCCACATACAAACCTCTTCTGAAGATATCGACCCAGATTGCATTCTGTGTATTATCACCAGCTAACCGTCCGTCGCGTGACCCTATTTAAACAACACAGAGATCTTACATGTGGAGTCTCCTCTATAGAAGTCTCTTTTTAAATGTGTCATTGTGCTAAGTAAATAGCACCGCGATATTTGAGATACCGGTACAGATGCTGTTTACGCCAGATCCAGTATAAGTGGCTTTACCTTCCAATAAGAACCTCTTTATGCTGCGTCACAAAACAGGCTTTCACCGCGCCGAACTGCATCCCAAGGGGTATGGTTTATTTATAACCTCAAAGAGCTGATTAATTTTTTGTAATTTTAGAGGATCCGATTCGATAGACTCTGCACAGCCTCATGCCACCGAAAAACCGGTATTCAATGAATTTAATTGTCCGATTCTACGCTCGTCAAACTCGATATTGTGCCAAGGCTGTAACATAATGACGTCGCTCGAGACCTGCTCGCTTGAAGAGCTCAAGCGAGAGCCATATAAACTGCAAAACCAGGCAGACAGCACAGCGCAGCAGCTGCGTAACCTCGTGCTGAAGCATTACCACGTGTTTATCCAGAGCAATCAGTGCGCTAACGTCGTCAGCGATGATGTGCGTGCAATTAAAATGCTCTAATTGTCATTCCAATACAATAATGGTGCTGTCTGTACTTATTGGAAATGCAATAATTGATGGATGGATGGATTGACTACTTGCAGCTATCAGCGCTCAGCGGAAAGATGGCCAAGATCGAGACTGTCATTCCAGAGCTGCAGGAACGTTTCAACGAGCTCCACAAGGACGTGGTAGATGTCGTGGCAAAGCACGGCGAAATTCAGTACGTCGTTGACCATTATCTGCAGGTAAATTGGTTTGAGTTGGATCCCATGTGTTGCAAAATCGGGTGACTATTCTTACAATTATGGTGCTGTTTCTTATCATTTAGTTAACGGAGCTACTGGAGATCCCACAAGTATTGGAAGCGTGTATCCTGAACGAGTTATTTGACTCGGCATTGGACATCGTGCAGCTTTCAAATGAGACGTTTCAAGCTGATGAGAGTGTGGATGCGTCACATAACGTGATAGTTAATTGTCTCATGCGAGAGGTGATGGAGATGGCTAGAGCCATGCGCGAACGACTACTGCAAAAGCTGCGCGAGGACCTTCAACTGGCACTTTGTGTTCGAATTGTGGGGTACCTGCGACGCGTCGATGCATTCCTTATAAAGGAAGGGGCGGCAGCCATGGGGTCGTTGGAGTATGAAAAACAGCTCAAAGAAGAGTTCCTAGCGTGCAGAAACGTGTGGCTGAGTTCGTTGAGCCGCGGTATTTCGTCCTCGGATCCGTATCAACATGTACGGTTGCTGCTGTGTTTTTTATGTATGGGTGTCGCTGATGCAATTAACATTGTCCGCGGCTACGCAGATTGTTCAAGTTATCGATATAAAGCGGACGAGCTGGTTCGACACGATCACACAGTACTCGGCAATCTTCGGCAGCGAGGTACGTCCTTCTCATAGGACGTGATACCGCGTGTCATGATGCTTAGAACTTGCGCTCGTGAACGTTTCCGGCTCTTTGTATAGAATGTAGACGGCAAAGCAGATCCACCGCTTTGTCGGTGGGCAACGACGACGGTGGCAGATTTCATTCACACTCTCATGAAGTATGCATGCTACTGTAAAGTCGAGCTGTATGAAGTATGAGACGCTGTCGTGGTACGGCACTAACATCTATGTCTTTGGTTGCAACCAGGCAGTTGCCAAAGATCGATGACCTTAGCTCGATCGCGACGATCCTGGAACAAAGTTTGTTTTTTGGAGGATCGCTAGGCCGCGTCGGTGTTGACTTCCGCGCAGTGCTTGTTGTGTGTTTCGAGGACCACGTGCTGACCTTGATGACAGAATTGTGGCGGTCGGCCTGTTGCGAGTTCCGGGATAATCTGAACGCCCACTCCTTGTCAGCATCCAGTGACTCCTCGCTTTTAACGACACCGATCGTAATCGCATCGTATCGGTCATTTGCCAACGGTAGTGTCAGCACCATGTCTGCTGCTTCTCGTCTAGCACCGGCATCTTCCGATGGTGACGGCTATTCACCTCCACGGTGCCTCATGTCTTTTCCCGTGCTGGCTGAATTTACCAACGCGCTGCTATCTTCGCTGAATGAACTGAGGCTGTGCACGATTCTGTCGCTACAGAATCGTTTGGGCAGAAAGTACCAGAGTGTGATCAGCACGATGTTGGTTATTATCGCTGAGTTTGTGAAGGAGAACGAGCTTGATCTACACGCTTCAAGTGAAGCAAGCTACGAAGGTGGAAATGATACGACATCAAACAATGCACGAAAAGCAGCACTTACTGAATCTGTCCGCGCGATGACCGAGGTACGTCATGCTAGAAATACCGGATGAATGTCGTGGATATGATGGAGGAAAGTTGTTGACACGTAGTATGCACCACGTAGGTTGTTCGTTCAGAGCTCGTGCCATACCTGATCAAGTGCTTTCATCGTCTGTTCCCTGTGCCATCAATAGCCGCACTCAGTCCTGCTCGGATCCTGAGCAAGGAGATTGATGAGATCGATGTGATCATGCGCGAGGCTGGTTTGCTGGTTACTTCCTTGGATGACGAGCGCGCAACAGGGACTGCAGTGGATCAAAGCGCTAACATAATTGGAATCCTCAAGTCAGAGGGCTGACGCGCTTGGCAGTGATGTGGCCAGTCTAGCTGCCGCACAAGTCGACCCGATGAAGGGTTCCACGCTGATGCTAAAACACTGCTTCTAGTTGTTGCGTGTACTGCACTCATGCATCTGAGACTTTTGCAGCGGCTCCTGCTGGTTTTGCTGAATTCCTGGAATCCCATATTCATTGTCAATGCGATGTGGAAACATGGCTTGGATATCATGATGTGCATCTTCACAGCAATGTTGTCACTTGTAAATTTGTATCATTCGGAGTCGAATCCACGGCCCCATGCAAGACGACTGCATGCCTTTGTGAGTGTCCGCACCCGAAGAGGTTCCACGCGGTCACGGTCACATATCCCTCCTGCACAAACGACCAGAAAGCTATCTGACAGATCACATGCAATCTAGCTTTCGACGCATGAACTGATGTCAGCTTGGAGGGTACGAGTAGAAAGGATGCGAAGTCGAGCGTCCTATCAGTAGAATTGAATGCTACGAACCGTCGTGGTCAGCTTTACTTACTGGTTCTTGACAATGCAGCTTGATCAAGGAAGGGTGACACGCAATCCGTCGTAAGTCATTTCGATTGCCACCCCTTTCTCCTCACCCATTTCTCGCAGCTCAACACTATGCTTCGGGTAGTCAAAGTCGTGGCTCATGCCTGTAAGCAACGTACGCTTGGGTTTAAACGTTGCGATTTCCTCCATCACCTTTTGCAAGTTCATATGAGTGCTGTGGTACTTGTCCTCCAAGTGGAGTGCGTCAATCAGCAACACGTCGATTTGAGGCTTCGTTGCATCATCCAGAAACGCTTTCGTCTCCTCCGGTATCTCGCTCACGTCTGAAATGTAGACGAACCGAGCGCCAACCTCCGATCCGAACTCGAACCCGAACGATGTGTAGCCAGCTCCATGAATCACCGGAAAAGGCAGGAACTGCAGCCCACTTGCCTCGAACGGTGTCCATGGTTGAAAGATGTCAACCTCGAGCTTTGCAGTCCATCGAAAGGGTTTCTTCAACACGCCGTCCTCAACCAGCAGATGTGGAGATCCAGGCTCCTTGTCGATCAGGTATGGGAACTTTGCAATCACATCGTGGCTCGTAAGCTCACTGCAGTGCACCTTCATAGCCTCTGGCGAGATCTTGTACAGTTCCTTGGTCACTGGATCGACCGTCTCGTCATGGGCTTGGACTTCCCGGAGGTCGTCCATGCCGAGTAAGGCATCAGCGTGGTCGTGCGTGAGCACTAGCGAGTGAACAGCCGAGACACCAAGGCTCGGGAAGAACCTGAGTGCAGCCTCCCGAAAGGTCTTGCCACAGTCAATGAGGACGTTCGTGTGGGTTGTCAGGTTGCGAACGAGCAGACTCGGGTTCAGTCGACGGTTCTTCGAGTCCGGATTCGCGTGTGCTTCGAGACAAACGGCACAATCCTGACGGAGGACGCAACGCATGGACGGCACTGATGAGGATGGTCCGCACCCGAGTACAATCACTTCCATGCTGGCAAAAGTGAGGTTGATAGCAGAGACTTGAGACTGACGTAGCAGCGGCGACCAAATGATGAATGGTGCATAAAACCAGTCGGTCTGAAGGGTCTCGTGCGGCGCCCAACCACGAACATTCGTATCAATCGGGTGGACTCTAGTGCACTAGGCAGCTGGCCAAGAATTGCGAGATTCGGATCGAATGGTGGGTGGGTGGGCGTGGAAGTCGTGGTAAGCTGTTTGTAGTTTTACTGCGTGCAACGCTGGACAAGACGAGGAGTGCCTGACTGACGACGGATTTTGAGATGTCACCAAGGAAGTCTGTCATTTGATGCATGTGTTGGAATGGCTTTCACGCATTGAGCAGCAGTTCTTGTCGATAGGTTGTTGGCTACTGATGTGTGTGTGCACTGCAAGGCAGCTCATGAATTGACATTCTCGTTTACTGCAGCTGTGATCTGGCAAATTGATCGCTGACTTTGCACTTCAAAAAGACGAGCTTGTTGCTGCTTCTACAAGACTCTTCCTCAATAATGCACCACGGCCGTCACTGTTCTTTCATCACGCGTTGTACCGATCAGTTTGTACTTGCACCAAGTCGCTCGAGCGTTTTTTTGGCTCGCCGACATTGCAAATCATCGGCGTACACGTCGAACAGTTGCCACGTAGAATGATCCACAACTTCCAACTAAAACCAGTCTCACTCACTCCTACCACCTACATCGATCTTCATGGAGACAGCACGCGTTTCCCAATCTCGTTATCTCTTTTACAAATACATAGAGCTAATGTAAGTACAATAAGTACATGACAAGCGCTCATCGTGTCCTAACTACGAGCACGTTTTCAAACCCTGTCCATTTTCTCTCTCCTCTTTTTACCACCTGGCCGTAAATCTTCGCACTTAGTCGGACCGTGCGGCCGCGTGGCACACTTGATCTTGCCATTCGTATGCTCCATACAAACACTAGCACCAATGGATCGCCCACTTTCTAGAAGCCACGTCGCTTCTCGAAACGACCCGGTCATGTCGGCGCCACGTCAGCAACGCTATTGACTTGCACTTTGTATGCCGGCTCGCTTTCGTCTCCCCCATGGCTCCCACCCGTGCCTCTCATTATCGTTTTTGCCACCACAGAGAGAAGGGACGCAGGCACCTCGAAACGAAACCTCGAACCCCGATTGGATAAAACCTTTTCGGATGAATCTCGCCAAGATCTGTCTCCTCGCCGCCGCGGCGCTCGCGAACGCGGCGGTGTCTGGGGAAGACACGAAGGGGCCGCGCGGGCCCGTGATCGGCATTGACCTGGGCACGACGTACTCGTGCGTGGGCATTTACAAGGACCAGAAGGTGGAGATCATTGCCAACGACCAGGGCAACCGCATCACGCCGTCGTACGTGGCGTGGGACTCGAACGACGAGCGTCTGATTGGCGACGGCGCCAAGAACCAAGCGACGATCAACCCGGAGAAGACGCTGTTCGACGTCAAGCGTCTCATTGGTCGCAAGTACACGGACAAGTCGGTCCAATCGGACAAGAAGCTGCTGCCCTATGAGCTCGTGAACAAGGACGGGAAGCCCTTCATCCAAGTCCAAGTCAAGGGCGAGACGCGCCAATTTGCCCCGGAAGAAGTGTCGGCGATGGTCTTGACCAAGATGAAGCACATTGCGGAGGGGTACATTGGCCGCGAGGTCTTTGACGCTGTCGTGACGGTCCCTGCCTACTTCAACGACGCCCAGCGTCAAGCCACTAAGGACGCCGGTACCATTGCTGGCTTGACAGTCCAGCGCATCATTAATGAGCCAACGGCGGCGGCAATTGCTTATGGCATTGACAAGAAGGCGCAGGGCGAGAAGAACGTGCTGGTGTTTGACTTGGGTGGCGGGACCTTTGACGTGACGCTGCTGGCCATTGACGGCGGCGTGTTTGAAGTGCTGGCGACCAATGGCGACACGCACTTGGGCGGCGAGGACTTTGACCAGCGCATTATGCAGTACTTTATCAAGAAGTGGAAGAAGGACAAGAACATTGACGTGGCGTCGGACAAGCGCGCGTTGCAGAAGCTGCGACGCGAAGCCGAGCGTGTGAAACGCGCGCTGTCGGCGCAAGCGCAAGCAAGACTGGAGATTGAATCGTTGCTGGATGGCGAGGACTTTACCGAGTCGTTGAGTCGTGCGCGCTTTGAGAAGCTGAATGACGATTTGTTCAAGAAGACGCTGGGGCCGGTGGAGAAGGTGATGAAAGATGCTGGATTGAAGAAGTCGGAGGTGGATGAGATTGTGCTCGTGGGTGGGTCCACTCGTATCCCCAAGGTGCAGCAGCTGATCAAGGACTACTTTAACGGCAAGGAACCTTCGCGTGGAGTGAACCCGGACGAGGCTGTGGCATATGGCGCCGCTGTGCAGGGTGGTATCCTGGGTGGCGAGCAGGATGATTTGACCAAGGATGTGCTGCTGATTGATGTCGTGCCGCTGTCTCAGGGTATTGAGACGGTGGGTGGCGTCATGACGAAGCTGATTAACCGCAACACGGTGATCCCGACGAAGAAGTCGCAGACCTTCTCGACGTACCAGGACAACCAGCCGGCCGTGCTTATCCAGGTGTTCGAGGGCGAACGCGCGATGACAAAGGACAACCGTCTGCTTGGCAAGTTCGAGCTGACTGGTTTGCCGCCTGCTCCTCGTGGTGTGCCTCAGATTGAGGTGACGTTCGAGATTGATGCCAATGGTATCTTGCAAGTGTCTGCGGAGGACAAGGGTACCGGCAAGGCCGAGACAATCACGATCACTGCCGAGAAAGGCCGTCTGTCGCAGGAAGAGATTGACCGCATGGTCCAGGAGGCATCGGAGTTTGCCGACGAGGACAAGCGTGTGAAGGACCGTATCGATGGCCGCAACTCGCTGGAGGGCTACTTGTACAACCTGAAGAACAACGTGGAGGGCAAGCTCGACGACAAGCTCGAGGAGGACGACAAGGACACGGTCTTGACTGCTGTACAAGATGCGATGGACTGGTTGGAGGACAACCAGGAGGCGGACAAGGAGGACTATGAGGCCAAGCAGAAGGAGGTGGAGAAGGTTGTGAACCCGATCATGTCCAAGGTGTACGAGAGCGGTGCCGCCCAGGAGGACACGTACGAGACTGGCGAGGACGACGAGGATGATGAGCACGACGAGCTGTAGACGAGGGCGCGCAAGTCGCGAACCACGTGCTTTGAGAGAGTCTGTTGTCTACGTAATTTCTTAATACGAGGTGCTTTTTTGACGTGCTGTGTCCGATGGTGTGGGTTTCAATGGCCCGTTGTAGGTGAATCGAGCTCACCCTTATCTCAAACGCACCTAGAGTATCACCCAAATCTCAAATGCCCCTAGTGTAGCGTGTGAGTGCAAAGAGAGAGCGACGAAGACGAACGAGCTGTCAGGAAACGGGTCAGTCGCCTAGCCGGTTCACCATCGGCAGGCAACACGAGCACATTGACTGGCCTCATGAGGTTCGACATTTCCAATGCAGTTGCATGGGTGGACGCGCGGACAGAAACGACCACACGATGGACTCAAGCCCCGAGGTGTGGAACACGAGATCCGGGGCATGCGTGCGAGTTGAAAGGCAAGGAACATCGTCAGACACTAGGAGGCGGTAGGTTCAAGACTCCTGATGTTGGCTGGATCACTCCAAATGACGCACATGGGGCACCGATCTGGCTGTTTACGGGGAGCCAGAGCTCCTAGTTCTAAGAAGCCTGCAGGTCTATCGATTCCATCATTCTCCTACTGCACACGTTGTATCGCTCAACATGAAGGCAGCGGTTGATGATCAAGGCAAATTCAAGCAGCGCCATCAACATGGTGCGTAAGTCGCTCGAATAGTGGCGACTTGCCACTCTTGGCAGGTAGTACTAGTCAGTCAGTCAGTCAGTCAGTCAGTCAGTCAGTTAGTCAGTCCGTCAGACAGTCACGACACCGATCAGGCCAATTTGTCGAGCCAGCTGAAGCACCAGGCATTCGGATCCCCAATCACTCGACCGAGCCAATCTCAAAGGTTTAATGGATACCATCGCCCGAGTTGACCGAGCGCTTTCTTGGGTGCGTTTTCGACCCAATTCACGCGACATCCCGCACTCCTCCTGGTCGTTGTCCTCACTTTTGCTTTTCCATTCCATTGCCGTCCCACCTGCTCGCCACCTGCACGATCCCTTCCGGCTTCGTCCCTCCTCGCCGGTTCGCAATGACCGACAGCTACGTAGGCAGCAGTTGCCACGGCAGCGTCCGCAGCAGCAGCGACTTCCAGAGCAGCGTCGCTTCCCCCGCGTCTGCACGCAGCGCGCTCCTGTCTCGATCCTTCATCAGCGCCCACATAACCGACCACGAGTTGTTTGCAACTGCGACGAGTGTCGTTCCGAATCTCCGCGCAGTCTTAAAGCACCGCAACGACGGCGGCCGCCGCAGCAGCAGCATGTGGCAAAGGCCGTTGCTCGATCGACAGCAGCCACCACCGTGCTGGATCGTCCGCAAGCAGAAAAACAAGCAGCAGCAACAGTACTACAGCGGCGAGATCACCGAGTTCGACCGAGCCAGACTCCCGTCCATGCAGCAGCGAGGCGACACCCGCACTGCAACAGCGCGAGCTTCAGCTGTTGACACGACACGCCATTCAATGGTCGAGACCCGAGGGTCGCTCCACACTCGCAACGCCTTTGTCGACGAACCGACATCCTCCACCTTCCGCTGGCCACGAGACGACCCCAGTGTCACGTACGCCGCGTCGGCTCAAGTCACGCTCAATTGCCGCTTGGAAGAAGCCAATGACATGCTGTTTGGCCGGGAAGCCCATCAGTTTGATGCCAGTATGGCTGCGCTCTTTGGAGCGAGGAAGTACCGAAGCGGGGACCGAGCATTGGCACGCGAGTTCCATGACCATGGATCCTCTTACTGGGAAGATGATGACGGTGACGACCGCGGGCAGCCAGGGTGGGTAGCGATGCAATCCGTAGTGCTACGACCCCGTCGGTCCCTCAACCCCGTGACTGCCGCGAAACGGACGAGTCGTCGCCAACGCCTTTGCTTTGCAGTGTACTCGCAGCACTGTCCGGACACGAACGAAGCTTTTTATACCATGAAGACCTTGCCCAAGTCAACACAGGACCACTTTGCTCGCTGCAGTCGAGATCAAGGAGCTGCAGAACAGGCGCTTCGAGGCACTACTGATCATATTGCTGCTGGGTACCATCTCACGAGCTTGTACAGTGATCTCAGTGGCCACCAGACGCGAATCGTCATGACGGCGTACGTCTGCAATATCATAGAGGGACCGGTGACGACCGACGTGCTTCGATCACGCTCGAAGCTCTGGCCACGAAGTCACCAAGCTCGAAGCTCCGGCTCGAGTCATCGACAGGACTTGCCCCCGACAGCCAATGCTGAAGCAAAGTACGTGGTCAAGCTGCTGGCAAATGCGACAACGTCGTTTGAACAGCTCGTGCGACGCCGGCGGTTCGGGAACCAGTCATTCTTGCACGTACCGCCCAATTATGCTGCAGCCAGGGACGACGTTTGCAAGGTGTGTCGGAAAACCTTCGGACTGCTACGTCCTCAACGTTTCTGCCAGCTCTGTGCCCAGTGTGTCTGCCGGGAGTGCTCGCACAAGTTTGACGTCGAACCGATCGCACGACGAGTGCGTCGGACTCGCATTTGCTACCCGTGTGCAGCCAACGTGGATGCGAGTGTGTTCCAGCAAGAGAATCCGCTCTTGAACGCATCGTTTTCGACCTATTCTGCTGTGGTAGCGCCCGTAACTCGGAGGAGTCGGATGAACAGAAAAGACGAGGGTGACAATACGGCTCGCACGAAAGTGTCCACTGCCAGTCACGACCTCTTACTCGAGCGTGACGACGTTAGTCGCTACAGCCACTCGTCCAGTCAAAACACGGCAGAGGCGACTGCAATACCACAAGCGAGATGCCATCGACTGTCAACGCGCCGACAAGTTCACAGCAACAGTGCAATAACCACTTCGGCACCGTGTCCATCGACCCCTGGTCGACAGTTGGCCGACGCTTTGTTTTCCAGTAACCCCTTGACCCGAGCTCGCGCGCTCCAAGTCGTTCGTCAAGTGGTGAAACAAGTGGCGTCGGACTCTTCGGTGCCAACGAGCTCAGCGTCTTCATCTGCGTCGTCATCGTACACGTCATCAATCCCAGTAAATCACCCTCAACACCCAGACAGAAACATCGTGGACAAGTATCTCGAGGCGTGTCTGCGTCTGTCCAGCATCTCTCGAAGTGGCGACCCCGCTACTACAGACCGCAGCACGAACGTCCAGAAAAATGCACCCAGCGCCTTTTATAAGGCTGCTGAAGGCTGTCATCGTCGACGACGCAGTACGAGCGGACAATGTTACGCGTCGTCCACGGACTTTGACTTGAACTCGAGACCTCCAGCTTCCCCACGACCATTGACGCCAACAAGAACAACATTGCAGAAAAGCATCTGCGAATTGGACCTGGACGAAGACCTCGACTCAGCAGCTCTCGACTCGATCTGTGACGTGGCGGCGGTTCGAATGCGGTGCTCAACCGCTTTCATCGTTGCAGTCAACAAGGCCCACGAATCTCAAGCTCAACGCGTGGTCGGGGCTTCTGGCGCTCCACGTACATGGACGGAAGATGCAGTCGTGTGTCCCTTTTCACTGATCGCCAACGGCAAGCCATTCATGGTCACCGATCCCTTACGCGACCCGGCACTTCGAAACCTGCGACTCGTGCGAGACATTGGCGTCCGATTCTTCGCTGGTTTTCCGATCAAATCTCCAGACGGGGCTGTTGTTGCTTGTCTCTGCACCGTCGATGCAAACGTCCGGGAGCGAATCTCGCTCGAGGATTTTAAAGCCATGCACGCCTTGTCCAAGCTCGCATCGGATCTATTCGAAGAGGAGGTGAACCCATACACGCTTCGGTAGTAACTTACAGTGAGAATAATGTCGTTCATGGCTTCAAAAAGGATGTTACTTCATGTGCACTTCAATATTACTTAACTGAGACTTTGAACGAACGCTCGAGTCACGGTATGCGTCTGAGATCGCGCGTGTCGCTTACGTTCGTCCGTCGTGCTGAGCGGTCAGCACCATCTGTTAGTGGCTACTTCAAGCCAGTTCATAAGTCCAGTGGTAAGAGACCGGACTATCTGGGGCGGGCGGCGACTGCAATAGTAGCTCTTGGAGTCGCTATCGTCATGTCTCAAGATCCGTCCAGTAGCGACGTCAAGTGTGGATCCAAAGGTCGCGACGCTTGGGGGACAAGTTCTAGTATGGAGCAGAAGGGACATTACGTGCTGATGAAGGAGCTTGGACGAGGAGGTGGGAAGGATCGTTGCAATGAGGAGTTTGAATGGAGGAATCGTCTCATGTGATTCGAGATGTGGTTGTTGTCTACAGATCTAAACTCTTTACTGTTGTTGTTTTTGTCGTAGGGTTTTCTGTTGTGCGTCTTGCAGTGGACATGGACACGCAAAAGGTAGAGCGAAGGAGGCGTATCGTGAGAGGGCGATCAGTAGCTGACAATGTTGCATGCTAGATGCTGGCGGCGAAGATATTTGATCCAAAGAGCTCTTCAGCAGAGATGATTCAAGCTGAGGTGTCGATCAAGTTTTTATACTCAAAATGCTTGTTTTTCATACGTGGGTGGTAGGATAGTGCTAACATTGTATCGACTTTTCGGTGGTGATTGACGGTAGATTGACATTCTGAAGCTTCTTGGCACACATGAAAACATTGTGTCGTTGTACGACGTGCTGTATCTGGAAGATGAGACGATCATGTTGACCGATTTAGTGGCAGGGGGTGAACTCTTTGACTATATAGTCGATATGGTAAGGGGGCAAATGTGACGGAATGTGCTTGAGAGCTATGATTACGGTCTGTCACTTGTTCTTGCGACTGTAGGGGTCTGTATCGGAAAAGGATGCTGCTCATTTGCTTCGCGGTGTCTGTCGATCGCTGGATTACGTGCATGATCGCGGTGTTTGGTAGGTTTATACGATGGGTATCGCGCTCGTTGGTTTCTCGTGTTGACATTTTATGCTTCCTTAGTCACCGGGACGTGAAACCTGAAAACGTTCTACTGACCGACCGGTCCAACGCACCAAACGTCAAACTAGCGGTGAGCTATCGTATACATACGCCACCTTATCGCCACATCATTGGTACTTTGTTGACACGTTTCTTTGATGCAAGGACTTCGGGACGAGTCGCCGCCAAAGACATGGAGAACAGGTCATCGAGAATTTTCCGACAGGAACTCTGTGAGTATATGGATAAGGACTTATCACGTAGGTGCTGAGTACTGCTGAGTATTTCTCGAGTATGTAGCGCGTACTGGGCTCCCGAAATCGTGACTCGTCAACCCCAGGATTTCAGCGTCGACATGTGGGCATTCGGGGTGCTGGTACGGATCCAGCATTATTCTCCCGTATTTACTATGGATTTCGGTTGAGCAGTTTCTGTTGATCGTTCTGTAGGCTTACATCACGCTTACAGGAGTACATCCGTTTGACCCAAGAGGCGACAAATCGGACGCTGAAATTGTGAACGACATTGCAAGAGGAAGTTATGACGGTGAGTTGAGTCAATGCAAGCTAGCACCAAGCGAATGATTGTGCTGAGTAGCGATCATCATGTCAGTCGAAAACAAATGGTACAGGAGTTTATCAACAAAGGCAAAAGAGTTCCTGACTCGTCTTTTGGACTCAAATCCTGCGAAACGATTGACTGCTCGACAAGCGATGCAGCATTCATGGCTCAGTGGCACTACAACGTCTGCGGAGCCTTTCGATAGCGGTCACTGCCAACGTCTGCAAGCGTATCAGCGTCTACAGCATCTTCGAGCCAATATATTGGCTGTCATCATGAGCGTCCAGCACGCAAGATTTGGAAACAAACTTGATGCTAGTACGAAGGAGATTGCATTGCGCCGGACGAGCACTGTGAATATGGACATGTTCAAGGAGACGTTTCTTCTTTTCGACAAAGACGAATCCGGCTGCGTTGGTCGAGATGAGCTCGAGCATACGCTCTCGGCGCTCGGACAACGGCTTTCCAGGTTCGATGACATCTCGTGTCCATTTGCACAGTCATCTTTATCGGCTGTTCTGCTAACAAAGTGCTGTTGCTCGCGATCGGATTCACGAATGAAGTTCGGAGATCGACGAAATCATGCAGCAAGCCGACACTGATAAGGATGGCAAGATCTCCTTCACCGAGTTCGTGGGCATGATGAACGAACGACTATTTCGTCGGTACGTTTTGTCACGTCATTATGCGCGTCAAACCTATAGACTCATAGTGTTTGTTGAAATGATAGTGGAAATCTGACGACAGGAGATCTCAAGGCAGCTTTCGATGTACGTTTTATTCTAGCACATTTGCAGGAGGCGTCTGCGATGGCTTATGTCTCTGCGGCCATGTTACATGGAGTTCTTCTACTACACAGACGGTTGACCTGAACCGGGACGGGTTTATCTCTACTAGCGAGCTCGAGCACATTTTTCACGTACTCGGCAATAAGCGCATGAGCAACGAGGAGCTTCGCAAGATCATGGATGGAGCGGACAAGAATGAAGACGGGATGATCGACTACGATGAGTTCTGTGCTTTAATGCAGCAACAGACGAAGACGTGATGACTTCCAGATACGACTGGGTCTAGCGAGCTTACATTGCAGTCGCTGCTCGGTAGCCAATGCACGCAGCGTAATACTAATAGCAACTGATTTGTCTCAAGAAAACGACACTGATTTTCAGACGAAGCTGCAAGCTGAAACTAAAACCATGTGGTGCGTGGAATGGGCACAAATGCGCTGAACCACGACCCATAACGTCCGAATCGTGACAAATGCGTTCGAATATTCGTGAGCATATTTTCTACATTTTAAGACGTGGAAAGCTCATTTTCGTGTGTTTGACCTCGTATTTGTCACAATCGGAACAACAAAAACTACCTCGTTCTATCGACTGCTTGTTCGTTTTGAGCATAGACAGTAGCAGTCAGTCGTGCTGCTTCTCGACTCAAATATGCCCCCCACCGTTCGAAATGGACCCATTTGTTGTCACATCTGTGATCTCATTCTGACTGTACCACTTTTTCCTCCCCTTTTACGAAAACGGTACAACCCCACCTTGCTCTATTCCTCAACCCGACGACCACCGTGTCATACTAAACACAAGTGACTACTCCCCGTGCACAATCCGCTACATCGCGTCACCGACAGACATGGAGGCGTCAGCTCTAGAGGCGAACGCTCTGCCCCCTGTCGCTCTTCCTTTGGAAACCGATCACACCAGCAGTGACAACGGGACGGCCACTGTGCCCATGAGTGCGTCCAGTCACGAGGAAAGCCAAGCGGATGACGAGATGGAGAAAAGTGCTGACGGAGCGACAAAAGTTAAGGCCCTTATAGACGGCAATGATGTGGAGAAAAACGAGGAGATGACGTCGTCGAGGCCTGGGACGCCTTTGATGACGGACTTTTCGACCCCTCGGGAGGAAAACACGGAGCCTACGACACCTGTTGGGGAACCTGTCGAACAGACTTTTGTGGAAGCTGGAGACAGGTTATCTACCGAGGAAAAGAGTGACATGACACAAAAGGAGGAGGAGGAGACAAACGAGCAGATGAGCATGTCGGTGCAGGAGCAGGAGGAGGTGGAGGACGAGGTGCAGTTGCCGTCCGTGGTGTCGGGTTTAGCGGCTGTTGCTGCTGGTGGAGAGAAGAGTGTGGAGGTCTCTCGTGACAGCAGTGGTCGTCAATTGGATGATGAAGTGGAAGCTGCAGTTGAGGAGGAGGAGGAGGGGGCTAAAGGGCTGGAGGAAGTGGGACAGCCGGCGGTACTGGAAGAAGAGGAGGTTAAAGTGCAGGATGAAGGAAGGCAGACTGTACAGGAGGAAGAGACACGTGCACTACAAGATGAAGAGGAGTCTCAGGTGCAGGATGAGCCGAAGATGGTAGTACAGGAAGAGGTGAAGGCGATGGAGCAAGCTGGAAAGGAGCCTCAAGTGCTGGAGGAAGCGGACCGTACTGTGATGCACGACCAAGTTGTGCCTGACGAACAAGCTGAAACTGAACTTACAGTGCAGCCTGAAGAGAAGCATACGATGCGTGATGAAGTGGGGCCGACTGCACCGGACGAAGTAGTGAAGTCTAAGACACAGGAGGGAGTGGAGATGGCCGTTGACGGTGAAGTGGAGCCTGATGTACAGGACAAAGTGAAGCCTAACGGACAGGACAAAGTGGAGCCTAAACAAGAGGCTGGAGTTGAGCATACAGGACAAGACGAAGTGGCGTCCAGAGTAGAGACTGGAGTGGAGCATACAAGACAGGATGGAGTAGAGCTTGTAGTAGAGGAAGCGAGTACCCCGGAACATGGAGTGGATCTGATGATTCCGTCGCCAAAACGTCCGGTCGCTTTGAACCTGGTACATCACGATATTGATGACGAAGCAAGCGACAGCGAAGACGAGGCGGAAGAACCTGCCTGTGAAGACACTGAGGAAGATGCGGACCTGGGCACTCCACTTGGTTATGCCAGCGCTGCTGGCTTTGGCGAGGGGCACGATGATTTTGCGTCGCATCGCTTTCTGGGCCCTAGCGTGGCTTCCGATCCATCATCAGCTCGTGCGCTACACAGTTTGCGTCGTGTCGCGCTGCATGACAAGCCGCCTCGCTTTGTTAGCGAAGCACCCGTAGTTGTAGCTAGCTCGGACAGTTTGACAAGCAGCGGTGAGTCATCAGGCAGAAACTCGTCCAGTGCAAGTGCAGTCCACGTGTCCGATGATAAGCTGGGGTTGCGTGCACAATCCGTGGCTGATTCTATGGAGAGGTCTTTTAACTCGTACACGTTGACATTTACGGAACCAGTGCTGGGCTTTGACACAAGTGTTGTCATGTCGCTGGAGAAGGAACTGCTGGTCGAGGTCTCGAGTGTGGAGAAGGAGAGTCCGGCGCATCGTGGTGGTGTCGTCGTCGGCGACTATCTGATCAGCATAAACGGGCAGCACATTGAGCCGCACACGACGAATGAGCAGGTGCTTGAGATCATACAGACGTCTTCCGTACCGCGGACGCTCGTGTTTCAGCGCGACTTGCATGACAAGGACACGGTGCAGTCCAAGAGTCTTCCGGACAAGAAGCTCTCACCCGCGAAACCTTTGATGGGTCGTCTGGGTGCAGCAATGAGCCAAGGAGCATTAATCATTGGCTCCAAGTGGAAGCGTAAGAAGACGCTAGTGCATTCGGATTCCTTTTGCGATGGCTGCGGCATGGACCCGATCACAGGCGCGCTTTGGACGTGCAGTGTCTGCTCAAATTACAACTTGTGCAGTGAGTGTTACGATATGGGCACACATGGCATGGAAAACTCGGAGCAAATGCAGGCGCTGAGTGAGGCCACTGTACAGTACAAGTTACAGAAGAAGTGCAAGCATTTCACACCCGAGTTTCTCCTATCGCTTCGCCGCGATATTTGTAAGGGACGACCAGACAAGTTTGAGTACTTGGGCGAATGGATTGCCGATATCGTGATGGGTACATCCGCAGTGAAGATCACAGTCCGCGGTATTGAGATCCCGTCTCTTCCGCCTGCTTCTCGCCAGCGGTTTGTGTCCCATCTCATGCCGCTGGTATCCAATCGGACTGACATTGAGGTGAACATTGAATGGCTGCCGGATGACTCGGATCGAATGACTGTGGCCTGTCGTCCAAGTGTGGATCGAATGAGTGCCGGTGCATTTGATAGCGACGAAGATGAAGGCGCTGATCACTTTTTCGACAACTTAGAAAAGCTGCGCATTTGGATATCGGACAAGAAGACGCGCACGACGTCGCCGTTTGCGTGATAAGTTTTGCCTCGTGTACTTGCATGTTGTGGAAGGAAGGAAAAGAAGAAAGCAAATGAACAAAGCGGTCCAGTGAATCTAGAACGAAGCGACCCTGCAGGGGGGGGAGGACATATGGCCATCGACCATGTTTATACTAGTGATGTGCCACATCTTCTTCACCTACGGATTGTTCAGCCAAGAGTTATAGTCATTTGTCAGCGTTCAGCAAGAAATGCCGTCGCCTCTCTGCTTTTTACTTCTTTTGTCGTAAATCAGTCAATTGTTTACACGTAACTATCCCTCTGTAACACGATACCATTCTGTACACAATTAATTGAACCCGTCCGTAGTTACTGGCCGCAAACGCCGAACAAAATGCTAGCTTTGTTGCGCTCGCAGATGGGCGCGTTGACGCTCCGTCCAGTCGCTCGCAGCGCTTTTGTGACCCAATCCGCACTGTCTACAACTGCGGAAGGTGCGGACGCTAAACCTGGCGCAATCGACGACGATACGGCCGCTTTTCTGAACTCCACGTCGCCTACTTCGTCCGAGCCCCGGACTGTGAAGACTGTAAAGCGCGCGATCCGTTCGAGCCCCCGCAAGCTGGCGTACTTGGCTCAGCAGCTTCGTGGCTTGTCTGCCACGGAAGCTCTTCTGCAGATGAAGTTCTCCCCCAAGCGCAAGGCCGAGATCTTTCACAAGACGGTGCAAAATGCGATCAATTTGGCGGATATCAAGTACCAGATTGAGCCGGAAAACCTCCTGGTGGCCGAGTGCTTTGTGAACAAAGGCGTGTACCTCAAGCGTATGCGGATCATGGGTCGAGGTGCGTACAACGAGCCGTAGCTGTGATCGCTAGTAGTAGTAGTAGTACAGAAGAGGTGGACAGTGGAGAGAGTTGAGCTGATGTTGTGGATGTTGTTGTGGCTGGGTCATTCGTAGGACGTTCGGGTGTCATGCACCACCCACACACGCATTTGACGGTGGTGCTGCGTGAGTTTGATGCATCCAAGAAGCCACTGAACCGTCACTTGACAAAGAAGCTAGCCCGCGAGAACGCCGCAAAGGCGCTTGCACACGAGACGAGTGGACGAGAATAGATGGAGCACTAGACGCGAGCCGGGTGGTCAAGTGCGAGTAGTTGTTCTCTCGGCACCGACGAGAGTCAAAGGTTGTTGTGATGACGATGCAGACAATTTGGCGGGCAGCATCGCACCCTCTCACTACTCAATCAATGACTACTGCAGTACCTGTGCAGACTACGGCAGTACTTTTCAAATAAAGTTCCAAACGTTTGACCCGATTGCTCAATCCGATTTCGGCCGCGGTGAACATTTCATGATTACGCAATATGCTCTTTCGGTCGTGCTGCAGCCTCATATTTCGAATGAAAAATGACAGAACCCACCAGCGTACCGTGCGTAACGTCAAGTTCTCACTCGCACGGTCCTCTTTATTCTGTCTGCCTCCTTCTGATCTTTTTCCTGGCTCATTTGATCTCTTGCTCTCAAAAAACCAGATCCCCCCTCAAATTAAGATACACAGCCACGAAGCATGCAGTGGTCAGAGCTCCTCGGTGCCAAGCTCCAGACGAAAGATGGTCTACAGGACACGAACGCGAAGCTCGCCGACAAAAAGGTCGTGGGCATCTACTTCAGCGCGCACTGGTGCCCGCCCTGTCGTCAGTTCACGCCATTTCTGAGCTCCTTGTACGAGGACATGGTCGAGCAGCACCCGGAGTTTGAGCTCATCTTTGTCTCGTCGGACAAGGACGCGGCGCAGTACAAGGAGTACTACAGTGAGATGACGTTCCTCGCCCTTCCCTTCGAAGAGCGCACCATTCACCAGACGCTAAGCTCCAAGTTTGGCGTCTCGGGCATCCCCATGCTCGTGTTTGTGGACGCCGAGGGCAAAGTGATCTCTCTGGACGGCCGCAGCCTGGCTGCTGACTCGCGTGGAGATGTGGACAAGCTGTGGGAGCAGCTCACGCAGTGAGAAGAGGACGTTGATGGTAGGGGAGGGGTAGCTGGTTGGTTGGTCGGTCCATTGGAAGGAGGATACGTCGGCGATCGCTTTACCTGCCGAATGTCGTCTCTTGTTAGCACTGAGCTTTGTTAGTGGACAAATGTGACGTCGCTTTTGCTGTTATTATGTGCGTTAAGTGTGATTAATTGTTTGGCAGCGTTGCACTGAGAGCGGTTAAAGATAGGCTCAAAGTGGCTTGGGTTGGACGTCTCTGACCTCCGCTACCCTCGCCCTTGGCTCTTCGGAGCACCCACGTTGTAGATCCGGTTTCGGATCACACTTCCTGGAAACTTTAGTCGTTAGTTATTCGTGAATAATGGACGTACTTGACACCCCCAAGTATGATTAATTGTCTGTCTGCGTTGGTCGAAAAAAGAGGGGGGCGGATTGAATAGAAGGGAACTGAGTGCAGCGGTGAGTCGCGCTTGACTCCTTTAAAGTGCTTTTTATACGGATCCGTTTAGTTTTAAATTAATTTTAATACGAAACGTTTTCAACCGCGTTTTAAAATATAAGCGCATTTCAACCAAACGTTTTTATTCGGGGAATGGCGACGGAGGCCGGGACTGGAACGGGGCACCCTTTGTTTGGAATGCCACGATACTTCACGTACACTAGTACGTGCAGAGGAAGCTAATCTACTCAAACAGCTAGTTTGAGTAAAAGGTAAAAAGAGAACTGTCTTTAACATAGTTAAGCTATCAAAAACCTCACTCATATCTATTGTAACGGGGCACCCTGAAGCTTGTACTGGTGACAGTACAAGCTACTTATTCTGATGACAGAATAAGGCGGTGCCTCGTAACTTCACGTACACTGGTACGTGCAGAGGAAGACGGTAAGAAGAAGCGAGTACTTGGTTAGAGTAAAAAGTAGAACTGTATTTATAATAGTTAATGTCTGCAATAAATCACTATTTATCTTCATCTAACTATGTCTAAATACAAATGTGTAAATCAGTTATCTGCTCACCACTCATTGCGTGCGTCTGTCGTGGCGCGTCTTCGTTGGTTGATATAATGGCCTATATCAACCAATTAGGAACAACTCGTAAGTGCTACAGAATATTTGTCCTTATGACAATATTCTGAGAATATAACTCTTATAGTTATATTCTATTAACAATTTCTTATAAATTGTTATGTAACGATTCACCCCGTTACATCACCCCCCTTAACCATCAGTCACTTTAGTGACTGATTGACTAAATGGATACTCGTCCCAAATCATTTGGGACAGGGTTTGCACTTGTTGGTCCGCGTCCACTTTCCAACATTTCATCGCATGGTAAACAAGCCCATGCGATGCGCGAGCAAGGCCGCCGAGAGCGCGTCTGCACGTCTCCGTGCGGACGCCGAAGCAGAAGCAACAGCAACTGATGTCTCATCGGTTGCTGAAGCGACCCAGCCTGTGTCACTTGGTGATGCAGGCGCTGGTCATGAAGACACTCGTGTCTTCACAGAGTACGAGCTCGGTGTCTCGTACTCTCCTGATACGGATGACGGAACCGTATCGACGGCGATTGAATCTAAGCCGCCTGCCAAGCGTGGCATGGACGATGCTTTGCGTCGCAGCATCTTTGGTTCATCTGACTCATCAGATGAACCATCGCCGAAGCGTAGGCGCTCGAGGCCGCGAGACTCGGGCGCTAATAGTGGTGTCGGTTCTCCTGTGGACACCACTTCACAGCGAGGTGCCAGTACTTCTGTCGGCACGTCGCAGGAAGAGCGGGACCGCAATGTGTTGCGTCTCGCTCCCGAGAAGAAGGCATGGATGCCTCCTAAATCAGTCATGGATCACTTGTCGGCGACGACGAGTGATCGTTATCGAATACGATTGTTCGATTCGTCAAGGATCCATCACCTTGACCCCAGCGCGAAAAACTATCGCGCTGAACATGAATTCTTCATCGATGCTTTCTTTAGACATCGATGGTACAGTGGGAATCACAAACGTGGTGGTCCCTCACTACTTCAGGCGTGGAACGCCCACATCCATAACCTCGAGGATGTAGGTCGTGACGCTTCGAACGACAAACTTATCAAAGCTCGTGATAAGTTTGAAAAGCGATCCCCGACAGGTGCACGCTACAAGCTGCATCGTCTGTCAAGGGAGAAAGGATTACCCTGCCTCTCTTGGGGAGACTCGTGCCCATGTTGTGTGAACAACTCTGCACGAGCACCTAAGGAGGCTTACCTCCTTACCAGCCCGTGGTGGCGCGTACGTGTCTCTACTGAGATGTACGAAGGGATTGACAACCTGAAATCCCTTTACGACCGTGCCGGGAAGACTTTCTCCGGCGGTCCTTCTGCGGCACAGGATGTGCCGCGTCGTACTGCTCAACCAGACCCAGTACGTCGATCATCAGTTGGGAGCGGGGCTCCCAAGAATCCCAGGACGGGGGATAGCCGCGCCACCGGACGAGATAACTCGTCCGACGTCCGTTCACGTCGCGGTGATTCAACAGCTGCTCAACTAGATAGCGCTGGCCACCGCGAGAGTCCTCTAATGGAGGTGGAGGAGGAGGAAAGACGCTCTCCACACGATCATGCGGATCGGTGTGTTCCCGAGAGCTTCTTTGATCGCGTAACGCAAGGGTTACGCGACGATCTCGAACATGAGCGGAATAGGCGTCTCCAAATGGCGGACACTGCCTCGAAGCATCGAGCTGAGTTTGCCTTTGCTCAGCTCGAGAACGAGAGAGCTCTGACATCTCTTCGTGACGAGCTAAGGGTAGCTCGTGGGATTGTTGATCGGTCTCGGGATGAGATAGCTGCTCTTCAGACCCTTGTTGATGCCCACCATCGGGAGCACAAGGCTCTCTGCGAGATGCTTGAGCGCAAGGGCGTTCTTCATCGGAAGAAGCAGCGTACTGATGGTACGGCTTAAGATGACCAACGTAAAACGTGGGATGCGTTCGCATCTTACGTGGTAACTCGATCGTGTATGCATTGCCTAGGCGGTGCAATACACGAAATGGGCCGATGTACTTGGGTAGTAGTTTACTGCTACCCAAGTTAGTCACTACATGCTTTGGTAGATTAACCGTAGACAGTAGGACTAAGTCACCTTTATTAAATAAAAGAGTGTTTGCCCTTCCATTCTTATCAGCGTTTTGCTTTTGCTTATCCACCGCTTCGGCGATGGAGTCTTGCACAAAACGAACTACCGTTTCACGAGCCAGTATGAACTCATCTGATGACTCGTTAGCTTCAGTGTGCTGTGAGCGCACTGCAGCAACATCAACCTTTTCTTCAGTGAGGGCTTCCGCACTCTCACTGGCATCATCTTCTTCAGTGAGGGCTTCCGCACTCTCACTGGCATCATCTTCTTCGATATCGATGTTATCGATATCGGCATCAAACGCAATGACCTCTTCGTCAGAGCGTGATGAGCGTGAACCAAATCGGTTTTTGCTCGCGCGAGTCCCTCTCCCCCTTAAACCAGAGTTACACTCTAGTAAGGTGGGTACACGCGGATGGCGCAAGCCATTCACGTAAAACGGTGTATGTGTCGTGGACGCATGCACCGAGTTGTTGATGGCAAACTCTACCATTGGCAAAAACTCACTCCAACTCTTAAAGGAGTGTACGTATCCTCGAAGTATCTCTTCAAGGACACGATTGGCACGTTCCGTCTGACCATCTGACTCTGGATGATCAGATGTTGACATCTTCAAGCGCGTTCCGAGTGATTTGAACACGGAACGCCAGAAATCAGCAGTGAATCGTGGATCTCTGTCTGATACGAGTTCACGGGGCAACCCATGAAGTCGGAAGATGGTGTCAATAAAGACACAAGCACAGCCACTTGCCGTGATTGTCTCTGGTACAGCCACAAGGTGTACCATTTTGCTGAATCTGTCAACAAATACGAGAATACCCGTATTCCCGCGTGCGTCTTTGGGTAACCCGAAGACAAAATCCATTGAGATGGATTCCCAGCACTCAGCCGGAACCGGTAGAGGCTGTAAAGGTGCACGCAGTGAAGGACTTGACTTCACTCGTTGACAGACTTCGCATGCGCGAACATACTTTCGCACAAACTGATACTGGCGGGGCCAGTAAAAGTCTCGACTTACCGTGATATATGTTTTCTCTAGGCCACGATGTCCTCCTATAGGAGCATCGTGATACTCGAACATGATCCGTAAACGCAGATCAGTATCATCTGGAATGACAACACGTGGTGTGTCACCAGAAACGGCTGTATAATACAGTAAACCGTTACGAGTAGTGTATCGATCTGATGCAGATCGATACGCAGGCGACAATCGTTTCAACGATTCTCGGGATGGTTGGGAGAGATGTGTCAACAACTTCACAATCTCACCATCTTGGGCGTATGCCCGCCTCACATCATCATACAACGTTGTAGATGGGACTGAGGACGTCATAACCGCAACAGTGACTGTCTCACTGTTGGGTTTCGCGACTGTTTCAAAGTCGGGACGACGTGAGAGTGCATCAGCGACGACATGAAGTCGTCCTGGTTTGTACTCGACCGTAAAGTTGTATTCCGCAAAGAATGACAACCACCGCGCCATTCGTTGTGAAAGGTGCGGGCTGTTCACTGCCGTGCGTAATGACGCATGGTCAGTGTAAACAATGAAGGGTCTATCTCCTAATAGATAGACTCTGAACTTCGCGAGTGCATACTTCATGGCAAGGAGTTCCTTGTCATGCACTGGATAGTTCCGCTCAGCTGGTTGCAGCTGACGCGACTGATAGCAGACGACGCGTTCAACGCCTTCAAGATCGTACTGCATTAATGCACAGCCGATTGCGAAATCGCTGGCATCACAGACCACATGAAATGGCCTGTCTTGATCGGCTATTGCTAGGACTGGGGATTGTATCAAGCTCTGCTTGATACCATCAAAGGAGCGTTGACATTCAGCGTTCCATAACCACCTCTCGTTCTTTTTCAACAAACGAGAGAGGTGCACAGTCATCTCGGCGTAATTGCGT